ACTTAATCGTCCTTTCCGTTATATTACCTGTTTTTTATTCCTACTTAAAGCAAATATTCTTGTTTCTATAAACACTACAATGTCCGATCGCCCTATTAACTTTAATAGACACTTTTAATTGAGAATCTATAAAAGGTTTCGCGAACTAGTCTCCGTATAAGGGATAAGCATTCATCATGAAAACCGTGGCTCTCATCTGCCCAATTAATAAAGCTGATGTTATCATGCAGTCATACTCAAAGTATATTCAGTGATGCTTCAGGGCTCCGTTAGGCCTCTTCAAGGGAAATAACAAGAAAACAAAGCAAATATTATAACCTAATTAAAAATAGGTAATTTGGTAGAAATAATCTGTGATAGATTTTTTTTATAAGGCAAACAAGCTGACGACTCACCTTATGGAAAGAAATAACAATTACCAATATACATAAACAGTACTATGAACATAAAAATACACTTTAATAATATGTAACTAATATGTAAGACTATAGTTTATTTTATCAAATTATAATGGAATAAATACAAGGTTAAGTAGAGATGTCTATTATGTAACGATTTTCCATAAAACAAATTTCTTTTTAAAACTATCTGCTACTAATAAGTTTGAGAACCTATGTATGTATGGAATGGCGAGGTGAAGCAGCGAGAGCCGCCTGTGTCGCGCGTCGCATGCCCTCGCACTCGCCCGGTACCGGTTCCATGCCGGCACCTGAAACTCAGTACCTCAAGTACCTATTTTATTTTGATTTATTGGTTTATCATAATAAAACTGCATTTTCATTACAAATCGGTAAACTTATTTTTATCCGCTATTAGTCATCAGACATGACAGGGCTGTCAAAGTGTCTTCAATATGAGTACGGTAAGTATACTACATCTATGCTTCAATCAATTTAAAATAAAATGGAAAATACTGCAGTAGATACGTAAATGGATTTATAATTTCTTCATTACCTCTAGGTATGTGTTCTGCGGTAATGAAGTAATGCAATTTACATGTCGTGTACGTAATTTAAATGTTATATGTATGATTGTTTTTTTTTATTTTTTTTTGCAGTTAATACCAAATTTAGTTTCAACAAATCTATAGGTAGGACATTGCTCTTTTTCAGAAACTTCGAAAAGGAGAAAGTTCTCAACTCACCTGTATTTTTATTTATGTATTAGATAGGTACTCGATATTTTCGCCGATTATGAACCGATTTGGATAATTCCTTTGTATTCTAAATGTAGTATAATTTAAAAATATTTTTGTTCTTTTAGCTTCATTATGAGTATTTTGAATCTTTCCTCCCCATTCCTTTACAAGACTTCTGTATTCATAATACCCAGTTCTATGTAATATTGACATTTAACTACATGTTTAAAGCAGAGTGAATTTTAAATGGTTCTTGATTATTTCTAATTAATAATAATGATTAATGAAAATTAAAAAGAAGAAAAACATGCCATCAAATCCTATACAATTCCATGTACCAACGTGATACCTGGTATCCGTGCTTGGTAGTGGGATACATATGAATTGTTATGAACAACAAAAACAATGAACCCATCAAAATCTTCCCAAACCCTTAAATGCCGTTACATACGTCCTTTATTTATTTAAATACAAATGTATTACCGGTTTGAAGGAATACAATCGTTTAATGGCTGTATTTTTAAATTCACTTGATTTGACCGTTATTAATACTGTAGAGTAAGGAAACCGTAAATAAGTTCTCCGATATCTCGAATCTGACTTCATTAAGTCGCTCCAAAATCAAAAAGGAGGCTTAAATTCGAAATTCGAACAAAGGGATCCAACAAAAACGATAACAGAAAAAGAATGATAAAAAGTGGCGAGGGCGCGTGCCGAGGCGACATGTGCACGCGCCGAGGATCCGCGCTAACGGGCCGTGACGCATGCCCCGCGCCACCCGCGCCCCCGGCGCCCTCACTTGTCCCCGCGGCCCGCGGCCCACTGCCCGCACTAGTTTGCCGCCCAGCGCCACGCGCTTGCCGTTATGTGTTCGGCTCTCTCCCGTGTCGCACGCGCCACCACCCTCACGTTCACTGAAGCACTTCCCCCTGAAACCATACACATTTCCCATATGTAACAAAACACGTTGCAACCAAAGCAGATTAGCCGCGTAATTGAATTTCCCGAGATTGCTATTACAATCGGTTAATCAAGCGAAAAATGTTATTAACAGGAAGCAATATTGTTTTAGTTTTTCATTTTATGTATGTTTATAGAGTTCTATAATTCAATAGGTAACAATATAATATATAATAATATATGCAGACAATGGATTTATTTTTGTACATTTTTTTATTTTAAACTGATGTTATTTATGATCTGTAGTACCTATTTATCTATTACTAGCTGCTCATCCCGGCTTCGCTGAGGTATTTTAATCTAATAAAAGAAACGAGACTGCTCTCTGTCTCACTCACCTTTTTTATATGAAGATTTATTAACCTATTTTTCATTTTTCCGTACAATTTTTTATTTACTTTCATACCTTGCTTTGACAATTATAAACGCAAGAAAAAAAAAGAATTATCTGATTAGGTGCAGTAGAGTGCTTTCTGATGTAATGTTATATTCATATATGTCTCTATTGATATTTACTAATATGGATTATGCATCTACTTCATCATATGAGATAGATACATTGCTGCTATTTTCACTTGTGATATAGTTGAAACGTTTTTACATATTCAGGAAAGAGATATGATTAATTGTACAAGATCATGGGGAATCTAATGCCCTTAAATTTATAAAGTGATGATCAACTTCCTCTAAGTATAAAGCATTGATTTATTGAGACGTTCTATAGAGTTCAAAAATTCGAGAGCCATAGTAATGAACCTTAACTGTGTAGGTATTTAATTTAAGTATAATATAATTTACAATTTAATATATTTATCATTCAATGTATTTATTTTAGACATATGTTTTTTGACAATAAGTAAAGGTGACATGTAGAGTATTAATAATTAAAATTATTGTTGATATTTTATTGGATTATGTAAAAATCATTAATTATGTATTGTATCTGTACTGTAATACGTTACATAATAAGCTATCTTCTAAGAAATTATCTGCCTATATCATTTTTTCCTAGCTTTTCCTTTTTAATTGTAATAGCCAAGTAGAGTGTATATTATTGTGATGTAATGAAAGTGAACTTAGAAGACCTTAGATATATGAATTAAAACTTTTTTTTTTTATAAGGCTTTGTTTTTTTTTTTGTATTGGAATAATTATTTATTTAATTCATCGCCGACTAAGAGAAAATTTCCATTCTTTCTTAGTTACCATTCTTCTTTGCGTGTAGGTTACTTATGCTCCGTTGGAGATCTCGGTAGCCTACGAAAGGGTTCCCGTAACTCCAACACTATAGCGCTGCGAGGGCTTGCCTTGGTAGTTTTTATCCGGTAGGAGTCCGGCAGTACCTACCCACACGCCTCCCCCGGGCGTGTGTGTCTGCATGATGCATTTTCCCCAGGATAAAAAAAAATTACTTATGCTATGAGATTTACACGTTTATATAATACAAATATCCAGAGACAGACAAGCAGACAAAACAAGTTAATGTTCCATTTTCACCTTCATATTGCGGAATTCTAAAAATAGATATTCGCTAGCGATAGTGCCGCTATCACTTTCGATGCGACAGTTGCAGGTGCAGCCGCGGTTTGTTGTTAAACTTGTTTCAGTCCTGGCGTCAATTGAAATTGTTGTTATGTTGTTGCGCGTCGTTGACTACTATCAAGACGATTACACACTGCCTGGGTTTGCCACAAAATTAGATATTAGTTTTATTTATTTATTCTTTTGTACACATTAAAATATGTATACAGGCCGGAAACAATCTCTGATATCGTTCTCTATCGGTCCACCGTTACGCTAAATAGAACGAATAAATAGCGGTGTATAACTATTAAAATCAATTTGTAAATGAAATAAATATTTATCCGTATTACTCATGACTTCGTTTACGTGAAAGGGATATATTCATAAATGGATTAAAAAATGATCATACAATACTTGTACCTATGTATTGTTATAACGATTAGTTGAGCAGTTAAGACGTCAATATGTATCAAACTAAGATGCAGGTACTTATATTGTTATACGCATATAAATACAACTTCAAAGTAAGGCTTCTACTGCGGACGGGGAAAATTCATAAGAGTAAATAAACACATTTTGCAAATACAAGGCCTACACAAACAGAAATCATCATATCAAAGTCATCAATATAAGTGTGCATTGTACGAGGTAAAAATCATTATCGAGTAAAATATAGAAAACTCATTTATAGCTTGAAATTTGGAACATAATTTCTTATTAAAACAATTACAATTTAGACGTAACGTCCTTGCGTGAATACGTAATTACCAGAAGGCATACACCTTCATTACCTATTTATATACAATAACTAAGTAAGGATATATCGTACCAGAAAACCGTTCAGTGATTGAAAGAGATTTCATGAAAACAGTTCTAAGTAAAGACATCTAAGCAACGCCACGCCCAGCGCTAACCAGCAGCCAATGGCGCGCAATGGGCGGAGCGCACCGTTGTAGGAAATCTAAGCTACGTGATCCCTTCTCGATTTTCTCTAATCTTATAACTGGCTTCATACAAATCTGTATGTATTCTTATTTACGTACTGTTTAATCTTAACACCGATATACCGGTCCATCTACGACAAACACCGTCCCTATATAATACCACTGAAGTTTAATGTCACACAGACAGCAACCGCTTATTTGTGGGCATTAATACTTGAAAGCAATTTTTCAGCGAGTCCTCCGCGCCGTCAACGTAAGTGCAACCGACAATTAACTGGTGTATGCGAGGATGCGACGCGAGCCACCTGTCAAGTGGCCGCTTCATCAAATCATTTCTTTATTGCGCAGCCTCCACCCGACCTGCTACTCTTTTTTGTTAGCAGAGTTTTGAAAAAAAAGAACGTTACTGTGGATGAACAGTCGGGTAGGTCGTGGCGCGCGAGCCTCGTTTGTTTCAGTCAGGTGCCAGGCGCCGGCCGCGACGCACAGTGCGCACTGCAATATCGTCCACCATCCCTCCCATACAACCTCCCGACACGCGCGAGTTACAGCTTTTCGATAAGGTTTTCATGACTTAAATTATCCCATAAATAAATATGAAGACTTATTTATCGTGCATTTGGAACTGATTCGTATTAACAATTGTACAATTTAAAGTAAATAAATATTAAGTGTATGGAGCAGTGAGTGATCTAAGAGCCTTCGCCGATTTCCCGCCTAATGTAAGTTAACGTTTTTTTATGAATAAATTAGTTTTTATATTTAGTAAATAATTTTGGCATAATTTTCTGTAGAAATATCATCACCATTATATATAGAATATACAGGTTATTGTTAATAATTATGTAATTAAGAGAGACAAACATTATTTAATATTTTTAATTGATATCTTTGAAAAAGGCATTAGCCTTTTAATTAAAAATGTAATAATTGACATATCATGTGTAAAAAAAAATTGTTCATATAAAACTTAAAATTCATGAATTATTGGTATACCTATAGTTATAATGATTATGGTTTTCACAAAAAATGCTATCTTCAGAAAATTTGTGCGTTTCACGGTGTTTTTTTTCTAACTATACATAAAATATTATTGTATAGTTATACATTAGTTATCACTGTCATTAATAAATTTAGAGAATCTTTCTTACTTAATTAAAGTATGTCACTGAATAAGCAATCATAAGTAGGTACATATTTATGTCTATGTATATATGTATCTATATATATATACCATTAAGTACGATATAATTAGTTATGTACATACTGAAGTTTGTCCAGTTCTTCTTGTTTGAAAATTGATACAATATTGTACACCGCTCTACTCGCTGACATTGATGCTCCTTACCACTTTGAGTTTGCTGGAAGAGAACTTTTTTACAGTTAATCTCGTCTTTGTACATTTGCTTGTCTCTGTCATATGTTTTATGTGATATTAATGTGTACAATAAAGTTTAATTAAATAAAAAATAAATAAGTTTTTCAACTACTATTTTATTCTCCGGGGCGGCGAAATGCTATTAAATGAATATTTTTTGTCAATAATATTTATAGTGTATATAAAATAATATTTATAATCTTTGGATATTATTTGATATATCTATTTTATTTGTTATTGCTATATTAGCTATGTATATTGTATGTAGATTGATATTTATGTTCTGACTGGTAAATAATTAGAAAAATAACTTTAATTTTTATTTATATAAATTTCACTTCTATATATTATCACTATTAAGTAGGTATCTACCAAACAACCGAGCATTATGAAAACTTATTTTGAACAATCACTACAATGATTTCCGTAGGTACTTAACAAAACCAGTTGTGACAACAACTACCGTGTTTGTTTGGAGAAACTCTTGAAACTAGTGTAAAGATGTATTCAATTATTTTTCAACACTATTATCAAGCCTTCTAGTAAATATTCATTATTAAGGAATATAATTGCAACAATAAACAAGTAATAGTATTACAAAACACGCAATTGTAAAATGAGTTTTCGATGGTCTATGGTTATCATATTTCTTACTAATTATTAGCCACGACTTCAAGTAGCCTGTGTCATCCTACATTCTATGCCATCAAATTTAAATTTAAATCATCTTTATTCGAATAGGCTTACTTTACAAGCAATTTTAAATCGTATTTTTTTTTAATATATTGTAGGGTTTGGAAGGTTGTTATCTGTTGAGAAGAGCCCACAAGAAACTCAACAGTTAATGATAACAATTGTCGTTAAAGTCCTTGCATAACCGACTAACACCATGCACATTTGTCATCTTAGGCCGTTAAAGCACTCTTATGTTTATATGAATTACCTATATTTTCATCATGTAGCGTAGTGTACTCTCTCAATTAAAACTAAACTAATTTAATTATACCCCATTTATAAAAATCCATGAACCCCATTAAGTTACACATTGTACTCAAGTTTTGAACATACAAGTACATACTGAAGAATATTATCTTTTTTAATAGTCGGGTAAAAACCGGCACAAGTACGGAAGAAAACAGGAGGTAGTAGGTATTATATGTAACTAACATTATTATTAAAAAAAGAATAAAAAAATGTAATAAGAATCAGGGAGACAGCAAAGTATGTAATCGTGATGTTGATAAAAAGTCTTGAACTGTGGAACGCGATGATCTTAAAATTAATATACATACCTTTTGCTATGTTGCTAATACTTCGCCTATATAAATATATATATAACTATGTATATTTATCAATTGTTAATTTACCAAATTTCTTTCTAATACGTAACCAAGTTATTACCAGTATTTTTATGGACGATACTATGAACTGTATTTTAGTAATTAGTGTGAGTAGGTAATGGTTTTGTACGAGTATAATAAAACAATGGATAAAAGGGAAAATAATTGTAATAAAATAACGACAGAAGTACAAAAGAGTCAAGACAGAGAGAAAAAGCATATTAACAATTAAAAAAAAACACACAATAAATAAGTATAAATAAAATATGATATAAATGATTGCAACAACATCTTCATTTTTCTCATCGTGCCATTTACTTATCTACTAGATGTACCTTGTTTTAATTTCACTCTATTTATATGCATTATTAATAAGTGAGTATTTATTAATAATTAATGAGTCTTCAAGAATGGCAACGCATGGGGGGTATCATGGGCGAAACAGTACACTCTGTTATGTCCATGGCACTGCTCATGTTTATAGGCGACGGTTACCACTTTCCATCAGGTGGGCCGTCAGCTTGTTTGCCATTCTAAGTTGTATAAATAAAAAGAAAAAAAAATATCCTTAGAGACTACAGTACATTAAGGTCAGATCATTAGGGTCAAAACACTAAGGGTGCACCTTAGTATTTCAGACGTCTATAGACTACAGTGACCGTTTACTATCAAAAGGGTTGTTTGCCACTTTCATGGTATAAAAAAAAGATAACTATATAATAACAATGAGTATTTGCGGTGATTGATTTTCTTAACACTTGCAAATGTTCCCATTGTGTCAGTATAGAAAAAGTAAGTGGTAAATGGCATTTGTAACACAGGTAATTACTGGTCGACATCTAATAAATACTTGCGTTATTGAAACAAGAAATTGCGACACACAACCCCTCTCAAGTTAACTCGTTATTCAATTAACAATAATGGTTTGAATAAAATTACTTTATCTAGTAACTAATTCTTGGGATTGCGACCATTTATTATTACTTCTGAAAAGTTACAAGTACATTTATGATTTTACATCATAGTCATCGTACCAGCCGTTAATTGTTCACTGCGAACTTAGGCCTCCCCCTATTGGGGAGGGAGGGGGAAGGGATTGTTAGTAATGCGGACTATCAGTCCCATTGCTAGTCGACTTTCACGTGGTCCCCCCTGGAAACCATCGTGCTGAATTCCTGGTGTATTCATCACGATGGGCTAACTGACCTTCCTTTTCATTCTCGCCTATCACCCCTCACTGGTATCCCGTCAGTGTATACCGTTAGCGCAGATAGGGTAACCATTCCATTATCATCAATTAAAAATACCCCCTATTGGGGGGTTTGCCAGTTGTCATGCTTGGCAGGTTCGTAAACGCAGTTAGGTTTTGCTGGTATGTTAAGAGGAACACTGAAGCCTGTAGCACCATTAAGTTCCCCTAGTCGCCTATTACGGCACTCACGGCAAAGGAAAGGGTCGCCCATTCTATATCGAGACCAAACGGCTTACTTATATTGCTTATTAATAATGTCCACCACTTTACTTGCATGAATTTTGATGTTTTATTGTCCTACAGGATACATTACTAGATTGAAATATTAAAATTAATTACTCAGACATAAATCGAATAAAAGTGAAATATGTATCTATTCCAACACCCAATATAAATTATGTGAGCTATGACTAAATTAAATATCCGAAATATTTTAGCCATCAGCAGAACTTTATGATATTTTTTCTAGTTATCTTAATCCTTGTTGCTTTGCGTTTATTCAGTATCTAAAATAGACAAAATCAATATCCTAGTTACCGTATTCTAATATCTTCATCGTAAAATTTATTATAAAGTTCTAGGTTTTTAAAAAAATTATAAATACTTACTATTACTGAAGAACAAAAAACTAAATTATTTTCATTTTTAAATTTTACACATATCTACAGCAGATAGGCAAATAAAATAGCAAAGTTTATACCTATATTATACGTACAATTTTATTTTCAGCAATAAACTTAGAACATAATTATCAGGGGTAAGCTCGCAATTCGTTAGATGCATATCAAATCGTAATATCAGTAACATCATTGCAGGTAATTATAAAATACAGCAAATCATTCTTATAGTTCATTACTTATGATGAAGCGTGACAATCAAAGTGGATATAAAATAATGAAGATTAATGTATGCCCTTGTGTAGGTGCCTATATTTCTATGAAATCGCCTTTCACATGGATTAGTATCTATGCGTTAGTGGCGTCACACCGTAAATATGTAATATGTATTAGCGCACTTAATGAAGATTGTTTTACTCGGCACGTGAATTATTAATGCGCACACGCAGCGGGCGCCGCGCTACCTGTCGCCTGCCTCCATTATTCTGATTCTTCATTTGTTTGATTGAGCTTTAAATACGATTTGCTGTCAGCGACTACGAGTCAGATTAATCAGGGCGAATGTTGTCAACAAATGGTCGAAAGTCCGATAATGGTGTTAGTCACGTAAAATTATGATGATATAGCCACTTTTCGAATCTTATGAAATCATAATAATTGTTTAAATGAAAGTAGATAGTAAGTTATTAAATAGGATACTATATGCATTCATGCATATTTCCTGAGGAAATTTACAATTTATACTTACATAAATTATTTTGTGGAAACTCATTACCCCGGTAACTATTTCCAAACGTATTTGAAACTAAGCTATTTAAATTATATAGTAAGTAGGTACTACTTACTTGCTGCGACTTTGTCATATTAATTATAGTAATGTAAAATATTCGATGTATTTTGAAATAAATCTTAATTGAATTTATAACTTTTGTTAACCCAAGCGTGACAACATTGCAATAGACTGTCAATTTAAAAAAAAATAAAGATTTTGATTTATTATTTTAAAAGCATTTTGTTAGCGAACTAAAACATTAATTATAGAATGCATTGTATATTGTTTTACCATTACAAACTTTGCACCTACCTCATATTTTGCTTTGGAATACATTCCTACTATTAATATCCAAATTTTCACTGACAATCATGAAATAATATTCTTATTAAGTTAACAATGCAGTTATTATAATTTAATAATGTTCAATTTTCTTTTAAATTGACAGATAATTGCGGCATTGCTATACTTCGTTTTGAAGCATACATCTTAAACTTTATTATATTTACAGGATGTCACGTCACGTGTTGCTCTCACGCCTGGCAGAGCAGTTCCAACCATCATCGCCGTCTCCAGCCCACCGTTTCCCATCACCAGAGCGCAGCGTTTCCCCACATTCTCCTGCGTCCTTACGATCACCTCCACACTCACCGGACTCTTTAGCGCACCACCGCTTGGATCTTTTACAATTAGGGGACATTGAAATTGCTGGCAGAACACTTAAACAATATGGTAAGTGGTACTAATACGTAAGTATAAAATTATTTTTAAAGAACTAGTTTACATAGTGCAATTTACGGTGGTAAATCCTCATTATTTCAGTCGTTTATTGACCACTCCACGTAACATACGCCTTACATAATAAATGGATCAGAGGCATTTGTAACAGCTGACTTCTTTCGACATATTTACAATTGACATATTTACAATTATGTAGATATAACTAAATTGAAAATTCACCCTTAATTTCACAATTATAAGTCGTCTTTATATTGAAATATAGCTATGGCTGAACTAAAAGTTTGAATGAAATTATCACGCCCATTATAATAGTAAAAATGTGTAATGAGTAAAATTGAGCAGGCCGAGAACTGAAATGGGGATCTCATTTTGCGCCAATTCATGTAACTTTAAGATAAAATCAATTTTACTTTAATAATTGTATACCTAATATCTACAGAACCGTTGATAGTCATAAAGTTTTTTTTAATGGATGATAATAGAATGATAATTCCGTGTGTGCTAACGGTATACGCTGGCGGGGCACCAGTGAGGGATGATAGTTGGATAATGAAAAGGCAGGTTAGTTAGCCCATCGTGATAAATACATCTGGAATTCAGCACAATGGTGTCCAGGGGAAACCACGTGGAGGTCGACCTGAAAGGGTATATTGCTAGCAATGGAACTGGTAGCCCGCATTACTAACAATCCCTTTCCCCCTGGCATAGTCATCAAATTAGCATACAAGTAGCTAAAATTTCAGTCTTATGATTATTACGTCTTATTTCTTTTGTTTACCTCAAACATATTTGTCTACTATGTTTTAAAGAACATGGTAGCTAATTTCCTTGTTATGTAGATACTTAATTTAAATATTAATGTACCCTATTGTATCCAGTGTGTAAACAAACTTATAAATATTTGATAGATCTAATTGCTGACCACATCTTAAACGTTTCTGTTTTAATACGTAGATAATACCTATTGCCGGTGTAGTAATGTAATTAAATGTATATTTATAAGTTAGAATACACTTTTTCTACTTCCACAGATTTTAATTTAACTACATTTTAAGACCTGATCGGTTTAGTATGAGGCCGTGTATAAAGTTTCATAATTTTAATACTATCTATATTAAAATTATAAAGAGGAAAAATTTGTTTTTTATTTATTTGTATATGTAACATATATATCTAATAAACAAAAACTACTCAACAGATTTTAAAATTCTTTCACCTACAGTAAGCTACATTATTAGCAAGTAACATAAACTACATATTATATTTTATCCACCCATGCGAATCCGGAGCGAATCGCTAGTATATTTATTAAACTATATAATGTTCCCACTTATAAAGAGGAATTCCAATCTTCATCAAACTCTAACAATGTCGGTTATTAACGTATCAGTAATACGACTGCAATGTACCTTACAGGCATCTATTTAAATATAAATAAAAAGTGAACACATCTGTAATATAATTGTGTGAAACGAGTTACAAACTATCGCCTTTTTTTTTAATAAAAGTAATGTAATGTAATATACATGAAACTTTCAATTGTCAAACGTCCTTCTCTTTTGCACTATTTTTTCAATTTGAAAGACAGTAACAAAACAATCCAATAGTTAAAATAGGTTTGTAAGATGTTTTAGTTTTTATGAATAAAAGGATATATGTTTTGTTACGTATAAAGATAAACCTTTAATGTATGTTAGGCTAAACCTATAATGGTATTCCTAATTTCTATAAATTAATTTTAATTTTATTTATTTTGTTTTTAATTACCATTTACTGTTTAAGGTACCTACTGCACTATAAACAAAACACATTATAATAAGTAGATTTTGTAATTCATTTATTATTGTGATTTATATTTAAACAAATATAAACAATTTCTTTTTTATTGTTTAGGTTTAGGTGCACTGATGTATTGCAGCAGTTTGGGTGCACTGTATGGCAGCGCCGGTGTATGGCCTCTGCTTCTACCACGTGGTTCACCTCAATTCCCGAGTGCTCCATTCGATCACGCCAGGCAGACTCCTCCGAGAGATGGTACGTTACTTACATTACCAGATGCACTTAAGAAAGGTTGACTTAATAATTTATTCGGTCATTTTACTTAAAAGTAACGTTATAATAACAAATCCAATATTTTATTCTTAATACCTATATTACTTAGATTATTAATATTTTTTCTGCGTTTTTGATATACAACACAACGTGAAAATATAACCATAGATAACATAATACATTGTATCTATAGATAAGATATTTGTATAAATAATAATTAAAAAACAAGTTAGTAAACAGTTTGAAGATGCCTTTATATTTTTAATGATTTTTTTTTATAAAAATAATAAATATTTATGATCACACAACAATGATTGCGATTTTTATTATTAAATAGTATTACAAGTAGGTGGCATAGCCTTCTATTGTGCACGCGCCTTATCAATTTTCAAACTTGTTTTTTATTAATATTTAATGACGTACCAGATGACGGCCTACCAGATAAAAGTAGTAACTACCATCTACAGAAATGAGTAACAGCATGGATATTTCAGTATCGTTCATATGTAGTCATTCCTATGATGTTATGCTTCTCTGCTCTATATTTCAATTCTATAGCTTCTTAGCGGCAGAAGCACGAATGAAAGAGAAGTACCTAGGTATACAAAGAAATGACTTTTGTATAAAGTTTCTTTCTAGTAAATATATTTATAATTCAAAATTTTTCATTGTCCTAGAAAAACTAAATAATATCTATTATGTACCTATACATGACACAAGCCAACCATATAATTTAAATTCATAATCTAAGACCCCTCGTGTAAACGATAAATCTTCTAAACAATTAACACATTTAAATTAATAGGTATATAAATTGAATTGTAGAATACAATGATTACAACAGGTTTTAAAAATCCTAAAATATGCAAATTGCGTTTCCGTTACTGCGACACTTCATTTTGCCTCGCCCTCCTTACGGCTTATTTCTCCTCACCGATCCTCATTAGAATAGCTATCGGCGCATGTTACCGATTAATAACTTGTGGCGGTGATATGCCGTCGTTTGCATGTCGTTTACCTCTATGTACCAAGTAAACTTATGTGTTTTCTACGACCAAGAAACTAAACAGCAATTTCATAGGTGTCACATTCAAATTAAAACGTTCAATTACGTATTCCTTTTACATTTTGTACCGGTTACTGTACGATAACAACAGAAGCACAGCATTAAATCGGGGGTCCAATAATACAATAATACCGACGTTAGGTACAAACAGCGTAATAATTTATCGCAAAGTTTTATTAATTACCTATGTAAAATACTTTTATAAAAAAATTTATTTGTATAATTTCTGTAATCCATCTAAAAGTTTAATACATGAAATTTTGATATACCATTATACTCGTATTTTTTGTGTTAGATATTTAATTGCGAAAAATGTTTAGAAGTTCTTATAGTTAGGTATAAACTAAGTAAACATTAAATTGAGCAAAATAATACCTATATTGGCACCTGTGTATATTTTAAATAATAGTTTTGTAGAATTCATAATTAAAGAGTGTACCGATAAAATAAATAATTTTACCATTCTTCTGCTATTTAATTTTATTATTATTGAAATGATTTAATTATTGTCTTACCTACTGCAAATCGATACAATAGTTATTTCTCTTATAATAATTTTATATTTTAGTAAGAAACTGTTGCGGCCTCTTTGACCGATTTTCTCGCTGGCCGCTAAGACATTCTACAATTAAAAACTGACAGCTTGGGACAAAACAAAAGGACTTAGACAAAAGACCAATAAGAAGACGGACATAATTTTAATGACTAATTTGCCTTTTAATTTTAAATACATTTTAACGACAAATTCGGACCCTTTGACCTAAAAAGCGGTCCATCGACCTTTCAGTCACTATCATCGTTTTGGGTTTAAAAGTAATCTAAGCTAAATAAGGCACATAAATACGTGTATTCATCGTATAGTTTCTACAAAAAGCGAAGTTTCGATATTTTAGTGTATCGAAATCATTTAAGAAATGTACTTATTAATTAATAGATTTTCTATTTGAAGTTTTTAAAAGACTTATTTAAATTCAAAAACAAAGTTGTAGTTTGGGAACTACAATGTGTTTAAGTAAACATTGACGTAACCGTCGCGAAACATCGTTACAGCTGTACAGATTTCATAAGGCATTCCACATGCGTCTCATTTGACTCGACCGTCTTTAAATTTAAAAGCGTGAAGAACGGTCACAACGGTGGGTCTATGTAAGTACACGAGTGTTTGTTTTCAGATGACGAGGAAGAGCTGCCGTTGAATTTATCGACTAAGAATCGACAAATATGGTCGCCTGGCAGCGCATGTGAGCGTGAACAGGTGGAGGTTGAAGGCGAATCGCCGCCATCCCGATGGGCGCTGGAACTAAGTCTCGAAGAGGCAGATACGCCCTTGGAACTCGTAAAGAGATGCCGTAGCACTCCCGATGTAGACGAAAATGATTCTAATACCGAACCACTGCGATGCCCATCAGCTCCTGCACATCACACTTATCCAATGCCTCCTCCATCTTCGGGAGACATCAACTTCTCAATGCTTGTCAAGAATGAAAATAGAAATGAAAAATCTTTCCAGGTAAATGTTATTTAAATATATAAACGAACACTACTCCAAGCTATTGACTTCAAGCTAAAAAAACTATATCGATGTAGTATGCAAGTGAACAGCGACATCCTTTGAGTATAGTGTAACTGTACAGTTTCCGTTCAAAAATAGCAAACCAGTATAACTGTTTTAGTCTCTTTAACAAATCAAATAGCAAAAACTGCCCCTGTCTTAATAAGTACAGGTATATCGGAACGAGTCCCGCGGCCCGTCGCGCGTCCCCGGCTCGGCCACGCGGCTTACCACTCACATAGCCTCCTTGGTCGTCTTCTCGCCATTTTTGTATTTTCGTTTTTTCTACGGTGCCATTATAAAAATCCGCATCGGTTTTAATCAAAATTCCGACTTTTAATATCACGGTGCGGCGTTTTATAATTGGACGAATAATTACCTTGTGTCATACGATGATAAAAATGTTGCAGCGCCGCTCGATATTTCCACACTTTATCATCAATTTATAAATGGGCATTACGTTCTTTCGATGTATCGACATCCTGTAAGCCTTTTGTAGAAAAATACTAGAATTTTTTTTTATGTACATATAAATAGAAAATCCTGTTTTTTATTACTGGATATAATATATGAGATACTCTAGTTAGATATAGATACTAATTATAGCCGTGTGGTCCCGGCATAGAATAGGCCTATATACCCCTTTCTTTCTCGTGGGAGACGACTAAGGGAGGGCGAAAGATGGGCAGTAGCGACCCTCTTAAAAAGTCTTTAAAGCCTAACTGCGGTTGCTAATCCGCCTGCCAAGCATGGCAACTACTGGCAAAATATCCCCAAGGGGGAGGCTTGTGTTCATCAGTGAACAGTTAAAGGCTGATATGGTGATAACTTATAAAAGTTATTTTATTTAAATAAAATATTACAAAATTTATAAGTTATCATAGCGTTTTTATAGATTCTGCTTTCTATTACTTTATCCTTTATCCTAGATCCTTTAAATTAAATTATCTTTAATTTAAGAATCTTCTATTTCTAGTATTTTTAATATAATAATAAATCAGTCCGCTTCATAATATTTCTGTTTTTACGAGTAGATAATGTCTTAATATCGCACATAAAATAAGACAAATTTTATTATATTAACTATGACCTAAGGCAAATTTTTTATATTAACAGAAACCATTAAATTAGATTTAATAATTTAAGATTTTGCTCTGCTAAAAACAGCTAAAAATTGACAAAATTGATTCAGAAGTGGCGAAGATGTCACGGAAGATACACGCAAAAAATACAATCGAATTAAGAGAGCATTCTCTCTTTTTAAACCTTAAGTGGCTAACAATTATACTTTAAAACATATTCAATATACAGACTAGACTAAACTAGACTTAGAGTGGCAAACAAGTTAACGGCCCACCTGATGGAAAGTGGTAACCGTCGCCTATAGACATGAGCAGTACCATGGACATAACAGAGTATACTGTTTCGCCCATGATACCCTCCATGCGTTGCCATTCCTGAGGACTCCGGTGTTATTCCTCTGTACCCTGTAAATTCACGCCATATCCCACCCTTCAAACCGAATCACAGCCATGCAAACACAACTGCTTTACGGTTGAAACACGAATGAGACAGAGGTACCCAAGCAAACGAATAATACCTACATATACAAATATGTATTACACCTACATATACATATAATTAATTATATTATAATTATATAATACTTCTAGGTATTAATATATATTGTGATAATATTTTTACACATAAGTACGTTATTTTTATAATGGTCTTGCATATGCATACGAGAATATCATCATCTCCATCAGATTAGCCTTTAATTGTTCACTGACGAACATAAGCCTCCCTATTGGGGGGATTTTGCCAGTAGTTGCTATACTTGGCAAGCGGATTGACAACCGCAGATAGGCTGTAGAAATGTTTTAAGAGGAACGCTGCTGCCCATCCCTCGGCCTCCTTAGTCGTCACTTACGACACCCACGGGAAAGGAAGGAGTCGCCTATTATATGCCGGGACTACACACCTAATACGAGAATATATTTATCTATAATTTTCATTTAAATATAATTTGCACATAAAATAATAAGTATCTATTGCAATCTCGTTACTCTTATTAATAATACATTCGCAGCTTACCTGTTAAAACCTTGTATTATAAATAAAAAAAAAAAAAAACTATATTTTAAACATAACCGGCTATTATAAAAAATCACCTCCCTACGAGTTATAAACCGATAACCATATGTGGACAGTCATACCCTAGCACCTGTGTTGTTTGTAAGAGTGCATCAACCAACGGTATAAAAAGACGACCAAAAAAGTAGCTGTTTTTGTGAAGCGCGAGTGGGAGCAGCTGCGTAGCCAACTGTCACAGCGGACCGCTACGCAGATTTGTGTCGTGGATTACCAATAATTACCATACTCCGCATACCCGACTGGCCCCACTACATACTGATATACATGTACCTTGTAATTTGTAACTAATATCCCCCTTCAGTTTCACTTGCGCTGTCTTGAATAGATTCACGAGACTAGCCGTTTCAAACAGATTCACCCATGTTAGCGAGAAGTCTTTTAAAAAACATTATATTTCTAATGAATGTATGTCTTGTGCGGTGATTATTTAATCAATTTCGCTTGTTGCATGACTTGCATACTCATAAAGTGACTCAGTTATATAAATTCTGTTCAATTTAACTACTATTAGTAATAAAAATATAAGAATCTTAAGGATTCCGTGCCACTTTACAGAACTAATATGCCATGATAAGATAAATCTACTAAAGTAGTTATTATATAAGAAATTATTGTTACATTAATTAGTAAATACTTACGAGTACCTAAATAATTTGTTTCATAAATTGGTTAATGAATCAATGGATTCCGCTTACTTGCTAAGAAGTTTGCTAATAGGTAGCTAACATTTTACAGGTAGACTCCTCATAGCATGTACAAAGAAAGGATTTCCTAAAGTTTCATAGTAATAAAAGATAACATATAGGGGATTCTACAGGTAAAAAACTAGTCGAAAATATTAATATTATCTATTGTAACGTAGATATACAATTCTATGGCTTAACGAAGAAATAAGAGTGTCTGATTACATTTACATTTCTTGGACTGTTAATTATGTAAAGTATGTGATGAAATTTACATTCAAAACAACCTACAGTCTTATACCTACTCACATGAACTCCAAAAGAAATATACTACGACATTCCACTACAAACATCTGATCAAATAAATCTAAAGTATAACATGGTACAAGCGAAGTTTGTTCTACGGAAACTTTTGTCTATTACACATTGTTACTGTGAAAGGTAAATAGGTATATGTGGATTTGTTTGCTATGTACATACGACATAGCTGTACAATATTATGTGATTGTTTTAAATATTGAAGCATCAGTTTGGTCTGTATCTAACTACATAACTATCTACTGTTAGGTAGAGACGTAAAATTTTAAACTAAAGAACATTTCTCAATATTTTTGAGAAATTATAATAACGTAATAAATGCCTCGCAGTCATACTACTCGTTAAAACATCCTCTGCTATGACAAACCAGGAAATGAATTGTAAAAGCATAACCAAGACCCAAGTCGATTCAGAAAACTTCATGTTCCAAATTTTTCCACTAAAAATCGAACCCGGTACCTACCTCACTACACAAAACAACGTGCCTACCATTGCACTATGGACATAGTTATGGGCCTTATATTATTATAGTATTGAATTTTATATTAATTAGTTTATTACATTGAAATTACTTAGTATGGAAAGTATGTATGTATATATAATTCCCCCACGTTGAAAAGAATAATAACCCGTTGATAGCGTCTAATTACTAGGCGATGAAAAAAATTCATAGCCTTGATTCTACAAGAAAATCAAAGAAAAATGTACAAGGGATTTCGTACTACCCTATTATTAGTTTATTGCTAGCTGTGGCGGAAAGGTGATAGACGCTGTCGGTCACATACAATAATTATACATTAACATTTATTATCCGTTAATTATTCTCTGTTCAAATGTGGCACTGGCGTGTGTGGAAGAGAAATAGGTATAAATAGAAATTAAAATATGTATAAATTTATTTTCTAATATATCTAACTCTATAAATAACAATTTAATCCTGAACCTAATAAAAATTAATGCATTGAAAAGTTAATTAACGCATCACTTGAAAAACGGTTTTTTTTTTATATATAATTATATTTATTAGATTAAAATATTTAAAGAAAGAATAAAATGTCTGTTAGGTCAATTTATAAATAATGAAGTAATAAAACTAATTATCAAACTGACCAAATGCGTGCTGGATACTTATTACATATTATTCCGTATCAAGATTTTTATTTTTTATTATTAAATACCGGTATGCTTTATTAAAAATTAACTAGACGCAATATTAATTTTTTCAAATAATTTTATAATTTTTATATTTATTTTTTCTGGTTTATATTACGTATAATATAATTGGTACATATTTGTATTGTTTTGTCCAGTGCAAACAGTGTGGCAAATGTTTCAAGCGTTCCAGCACTCTATCGACACATCTACTGATCCACTCGGACACCAGGCCATATCCCTGCCAATATTGCGGAAAACGCTTTCATCAGAAGTCTGATATGAAGAAACACACGTACATACATACAGGTTAGTTGAATTTTATATCTATCTTCACACCCTTATAGGATAAACAACAAAAACCAAGTACCGATGGTTTATATTGTTAGGTACATACCTCTCTTATTTTACACAATTTCATACTTGTTATACTCCAGTTCCAAAGGCTTTTTGCCCTTCCTTTGACAGCATATTGTCTTTCTGACCATAATAGATTACTCTAAGGCTCTTTGGCACCTAAGTTCTTTCACATAGGTATATGTTTCATTATTCTTTTATCGAACATTCTTTCCACATGCTCGTATCAAGTATTATTTTTTCATTTTTTATTGTCTTCCAACTTAACTCCCTTTTACATTATTATATTTTTCAAAAATGGCCTGCTAACATTACTTCGCAGATTCTGTGCAATGCGATTCATTTAAAAAAAATATATTCAAGATATATATATATATATATATATATATATATATATATATATATATATATATATATCATATATATATATATATATATATATATATGAGGCTTTGGAGATGTTTTAAGAGAAATATGAAATATGAAAAAGAAGTATCATAAAATGACAAACGAACTTCATCGTAGTAACCCATCTCAAAAACCTGTAGTTATTCATAGCCAGTATATATTTCTGCCCCTCCAATTACTTAAAACAATCTATTTCAAAGCAATTATCTACCATTTCGGACGAGTGTGAAAGTTATAAATTGTTACGACAGTCATTTCATATAACTTCTATAAGTGTTAATGCGATGCGACCTATCATTTGATGAAAAGTTTACGTGTAGGTACCTTGAAAATACATTAAGTGAGTGTGTATTGTAAGTAGGAATCTACTTATTTTCAGCATATGGTTTACGCCTCTAGGGATAAAAAAAAAATATATGTACACTCCTCGCAAAAATTAAGGGAACATAAAAATTTTTGAAATTTTTGGGTGATTTTCAACAGGCTGTATTTCAGTGAAAAATAATCGTACAGGAAATTTAAAAAAAGGGTTTTGAAGCTTGAAAACTCTAGTTTTCAGATTTTTTGGTGAAAAAATTTTTTGAGCTCCGGTTTCCATGCAATTCTTAAACAAAGCTGAAAATAATTTTTTTCTAAATTTTCTAGGTTTCGTTTTTCACTCTATGGGCATGGAAAAAATTTTTCGAGCTACTCCATTATATAGGTCTCTTAGCGTGTTTATTCAGCTTCAAAAATCGCTTTGGATGGCTCAATTACGACCATTTGTGTCCGAGATATCGAACTTTGAATGCAAAAGCATCCTTTTCCATTCAACTGCTAATATCTCTGGAACTACTGGTCGCACAGCAAACGGGCGCCGAGTTTCTTTATCTGCATAAAATTTCCAATTAAGCACAGTCAAGAGTTAGTGAAGAAAAAATTTTTTTCCACTTCTAACATTGAATTGAAAAAAGTGGAAAAAAGTGACTTTTTCTCCTTTTTTGGTTACTTGGCTGTATCTTCGCTAATATGGGCGGGAAAGCTATATACAGTCTATTGTTCCTTAAAGAACCCCTAAATCCCTGGAGCGATCGGTTCAACGGTTTTTCCCAGACCAATTGATTGAAATTTTGGAAAAAATAAGGGAACAAGGTTTTTGTCCCTTAAACTCACCCTAATCCATTCAAAAATCAATAATTTTATTTGTTTTTCACTTTTTACTCAATTTTTTGTTTTTTAAAAATTCATTATAAAAAAAAATCGAAAAAAATCAAGAAAATTTTATGCAGATAAAGAAACTCGGCGCCCGCTTGCTGTGCGACCAGTAGTTCCAGAGATATTAGCAGTTGAATGGAAAAGGATGCTTTTGCATTCAAAGTTCGATATCTCGGAGACAAATGGTCGTAATTGAGCCATCCAAAGCGATTTTTGAAGCTGAATAAACACGCTAAGAGACCTATATAATAGAGTAGCTCGAAAAATTTTTTCCATGCCCATAGAGTGAAAAACGAAACCTAGAAAATTTAGAAAAAAATTATTTTCAGCTTTGTTTAAGAATTGCATGGAAACCGGAGCTCAAAAAATTTTTTCACTAAAAAATCTGAAAACTAGAGTTTTCAAGCTTCAAAACCCTTTTTTTAAATTTCCTGTACGATTATTTTTCACTGAAATACAGCCTGTTGAAAATCACCCAAAAATTTCAAAAATTTTTATGTTCCCTTAATTTTTGCGAGGAGTGTATTTTCTACATTCAATTTGGTTTGTGTGGTTCCGACAGTCCCGGCGATTAGATAGGTATTGGTATTATAGAAAAATTAGTTTATGGCGACAGATTGATTTCACATTTTATTTTTTATTAGCTGTACCCTGCAGCTCCACCCGCATGAATCAGTACATAAAGTATCTTATGTGTTAAATTAGGATATAACCTATCCGTGTAGTAAATTTTATTCAAATCTGTTTATTAGTTTTTGCATGAAAGAGTAACAAACTTCCATCCATCGTTACAAACTTTTACACATATTATATTATATTATTAGAATTAATAAATATGCGCTAAATAAATAATATCATTTCTTGAACTTGTTAAAATGCTCTACTTAATACTATAGTATAATAATAATAAAATATAATATAGAAAATATATAAGATATTCATACGGGAACTTTGTAAATATGCGTAGAACTTTGTATTATATGGAGATGTACGTATAAATATTACTTTAGGCATAGCAGGCAACTTTATAATACCTATCTATGGATTATTATTTTTATATACATTCAATAATCTTTACAGGATATAAAAATAGAAACATACCTAATAGAATCTATTATGCAAAATGATCTATTAAACAAATCATTTTGCCTATCTCTGTCAAAATTATTTTCGATATTATTATTTGGAATCTATAACTTTGGCAACTAAGCACATATGATTCAAATAAAAAAAGAGGTAATTTTAAGGGTAAGAATACTACAAGTGTATCATTTAAAACGTGTTCATTATAATATGGATGTCGTATTTGCTCAATGAAAGAAATCGCGGTACATCAGAGAATACCATCTCATTGGAATTAAACATTTAAATGTTATCAGCCGTGCAACCTTTTGGACGGCAAATCGTAGCCGGTCCTCCAAGCGTTAATGAATTTACAATAAGCAAAAAACATGCACGGCGCCTGGCTCTATATGCCTGATGCTTACGCTACCTACTATGGATCTCTATTTCGCATATTTACCCACAAATAATAATTATGTATCAGTACCTACAAACTATACTTTCAAAATAAAAAAAATAAATAAATAATTATAGTTGCTACATAAATACAAAAATTCTTTAAATTTTTTAAGTCCCTTTTTTTAGAAAAGATTGTAGAGATTCATGATTTCTTACTTAACGTTGCTAGTATTCGCATTATAATATCTTTATGTCTTTCTATACATTAGAAAAATAATTGTTGGCAATAAATATCTACTTACTATGTATTTTATATTATTTGTTGCCAACAAGACCGCCATTTAGCATATGCTGTGGAAATTAAATTCCCACAGCGATATGGTATTCTATGGGAGCCATTGTGTGGTATCCTGACATCACGTACAACAAAGTAACCTACATATAGAGAATACAAATATTTACGAGTATTTCATCGGAACAAGACACTAATATTTCTAGTTTGCTTTTCCTTACAACATCCTGAAAATAAAAAGCAATAAGCGTTAATTTTAATTCTCAACAGTAGGATGGGGGAAGGGCGGTATAATGTAAAATTTTACTATAATACTAGAAAATATCTAAAATAATAATATAAATATTCCAGTATACTCACTTAAAGTTCGATTTCTTTTTTTATTTCTACTTTAATTATTTATTTAACTTTTTATTGCACCAAATGCATAACGATATACGAGTCTCTACATTAATTTCTTTTAGATTTGTATAAAGAAACTAGTATCTATGGGCTTAGCTAGCCAGTACCTTAAGTTCCCGTATAATGCTGAGCTGTAACCTATATTGGCTCCTGTTTCAAGTTTCGGAGATTTTACTAGAATTTTTTTTATGTTTCAACTAATCTGTGTATTACAAGAGTATAAAAAATAAACCTACTGCTTTCCTACATTCATATAAATACCTATATTTATTGAACATATAACACCTATTTAAGTATCTATCTTCGCCAATGTACATGAAATTGAATATAATTTTATATAATTTACAGTCGATCTGCTCGTACTCCTTATATCTACTTAAAAAAGGTCTAGTAAGAAACGATTGCGCGCAAAATAAAAGTAGCTTTTTTCCACCCACTTCCAGTTAGCTCAACAAGACGAATTAAACAGCTAAAAAATGTGCGGACATATTTGTCGTGGCCGGAGACATCTCGTCACGTCTCCACGCTGTTCCGAATGATTTACAGCAGCCTTACATGGCACTCGTCCTCCCGATAAATGCCTCATCATCAATATTCCAAAATGCGGCTTGGCCTGCAATTAGCCGCGCAGCCTCCGCAGGCCTTCACGTCCACTACGATCGAGACTTAACAAAAACTCTACATAAATCTTGTTCTATCAATAAAATCACATTATCATATTCTTTTTTCATAGTATTCTTTTTATTATCATGTTAAAATTTTATAAACATTAAAGTAATAAGGTAACTATTGTCTATTCCACTATCTAACATATTATAATTGATATTATCGAACAAGACGGCCAATTATCGCTAAAGTTAGTAAATACTTGTCTGTAGACGATACTGCATATTAAATCAGTTCGGAACGACGCGATAAATAATAAATAGTAGATGATTATGACAAGTATCGTCGTCCAAGTATAGGTGAGTAAGAAGTTTAATTACTTAACGATATGTATGTACCTACACACGATACGTATTACGTTGATTTATGAATTAATTACAAATGAAATTGACATTACGCTAGGAACTACTTATTTATTGACGATTTAAGGCCAGCGTTCACCAACAGCATAGTAAGAGATTTTAAATGAAAACTCGTAATATATGATAACGGCATTACTTTAAAGTTGAAATATCAATAATGTTATTGTTCGTAACTACAAATAACAATTCTAGCTATGAGTACTACGAAGTGCTACGTAAGTGCGTGTCTATTTTTAACACTTTTCAGTACGATTGTACTTTTTGTGATACGCAATCTCTTTTCCAATTGTGAATCTCTTTTAATTTTTAATTGGAAATTTAATTAATTATATGTATACTACAAAATACATGTTATAATGGAGAAGACGAAATTTTTAACAAGCAACTCGCCCTGGTTTTGCTCGAGTTTAAATTGTACCTCTAAATGAAACCCATATCAAATTTTATTTATTCCAATATAATTTAAAAGTATTAATTATTCAATTTCAAATGTAACTTAAAAGAAGAACAAACGGATGCAAATAGAGACTTTGTTTTACTCTATTTATATTAACGTTAAAAATAAAGTAATATTTACCTATTTATTTTACAAATGAACATTGTTGCAGGAGAGAAGCCGCATAAATGCGTCGTGTGTTCAAAAGCATTCAGTCAGAGCTCAAATCTAATCACACATATGCGCAAACACACCGGATACAAGCCGTTTTCTTGCGGATTATGTGACAAGGCGTTCCAACGGAAAGTAGATCTGCGCCGACATAGAGACTCGCAACACTCCAATGTACCTGAGGCTCCTGCTACTGTGTCGCTACCACCCCAACGCTATAGATATTACGACGAACCTGCAACGCCACTTACACCACTTATCACTAATTAAACAACAAGACAACTTTCAATAAAAAATATAAAGAAACCAACGTGTGACATCAGTCAAGAGCTAAATGGTGATATGTTTTAATATAATTAAGTTCATATGAAAATAGTCACATATTTGTTGCAATTAAAAAACAGGTAGCATTTTATAGTGTTACAATTTGTTTGTGTTTATGTAGGTAACTTATCTAACTGTAGTAACGATTGTATGGAATTGTATGAATAATATTGACTAGTTAGTTTGAATTAAAAAGCTTACGAAAGTAGCCAAAGATTTAAATGTTCCAAGTGAATGGACTCCATCTGGACGAGCGATTGTGAATTTTCCTAATGGTATTAATTATGATGGATGTAAATTATATTTTCAAATAATACTTCCCACTAGTAAAATAGCAACGATATTTGAAAGTTACTGAAAATCAAAAGGTGCGTACGTATGTTGATGCATAAATAATTAGCAATTACCGTTACCTTTATAGTGCCTTAAGCGATGCCTTTAAGCCGTCATGTGTTTGTTTATACACCGTTAAAGGATTTACCCAATTCAATAAATAGGAAAGTTCTTAAAATATTTTTTGTATTTATCATTATACACCGTATTATATTATCTAATGTTTAAAAAAGAACAGTCCGTCCTTTGGTATCGTGATAATAATGTGTAAAAAGTACTTATAAAAATCCTATGTTTTGCAGTGCCCAAGTATATTAAGTAAAATGTAAGTATAGTCTAATACAAACCAAAGTGAAGTGTTTATTTAGTCGAGTGTCAAACGCTTTATTTATTTAGTTTAGAATAGAATTAATTAACGAGTTTATAAGTGTATTATGCTTAATTTTACCGACATGCAATTAAGATAGGTGTTTGAACTTCATTACCATTTTGAAAGATTACCGTTACCAATTTTTTTTACTAATTGGTCTGTTACCATTCTTCGTCTTAAGAAGATATTACCAGATATTATCTTATAACCCATGTCAAAGTCATGTCAAAATCATACACATAAAAATAGCTTCAAAATAATGAAAAGTACGTAAATAAATATATTTTTGTGGTATACATTCATGCAGATATATAAATCGGAATATGTTAAAATATGCATTTATAACCCAATAATCTTAAGTTTGATTTGACGGTTAGAGCAAAATGAGATAATATACACTTAAGTGCATTAACTATATCTTGATAATAACATTCAATGCTAATTTTATAAATATAAGGAATAAAGATATACTGCAAGTGACGTAAATGTCGCAACGTGGAAATAAGCCATAAAGAAATGTAATATGAGAATAAACATACGAGTAAATGTAGATTCCAATTTATAAATCAATATTATTTAATTCAGAAAGAATAATGAAATGATTAATTAATTATCGGTCAATTAGTTAACTGAAAAATAAAGCACTTATTCTAAGTGAAAATAGTTGATTGGAAATGGAATAGACAATAAGTAAACACCAATTTCAGTGGTGTACTATAGATACAAGCACTGTTTGTTAATATTAATACCACTACGAGTCTGAGTAATCACGTGTTTTTTTTTACGTTAAAGCATTTATTTAGTACTTACCTGTCTATAGTTGTAAGAGCCTATACAAATCTATGTCGAAAATGGTACAATAGTAACTTGGACAAAATAAGAGGCTATTATAATTAGCTTGAGACTGAACGTTATTAGCAAAAGAATTTTGTGTTCCTTGTTTAATTTTATATTTATAGATAACATTGATTATGAAAAAATTCCTATCAGAAATGTTCTAAATAATAATTGCTAATATTTAAAACCAATAATGAACAGTTTGCAAGTATGTGGCTTTATGTTAACACACCTATTTAAATACAGTCGTATATTTCCTTTAGAGGACGATGTCCACACATTATAATACCATTCTCTAAAAATTGATGCGTGTAAAGTATAGAATTAAAACCTGCACGTAAGGATTTAACGGCTAGAACACCAAAGAATACAACTATGTTTGTCTATACCGTGAAACACATAGGATTGTGACTGAATATCTAAACTTAGAAAATTGTAATGTATGTATGAGGGTAATTATACCTACACTATGCCATCTCTAGATCGTAGTGGGTTTACTGAAACTGTCAAAATATACCCTTACGATGCCTATGTGCGGTGAAACCGCTGTAAGTTGAAATAATTCACTTTTTAGAATGTATCAAGTAAATTTTAGTAAGTTAGATATATTTTAAGTTGTAATTTATTTAGGCCAGTTTAATATAAATATTTATGAATTCTCTCTTTTATTTGTCTTTATCCCCTAGATGCTATTTATTTATGATTATATAATAAATATATAAGAAAGTTAATTTGATATACACGCTTCTTGGTACCATAATGGCTCAACCAGTCATAGCACAGATTTGATATAACCAAACTTCACAAGTAATTGGTATGGAAAAGAAGATAGGCCGCTTATCTCAATCGATCCAAATTTCATGGGCATGAAGACGAAGTCGCGGACGCAACTAGTACCTAATAATTTTTAAATTAATTTTCTTGAAAATTTTGTTGAAAACGTTACTTTTATTTTCATACAATGAGGTAAAGTTAATTAGTAGAAGACTTGTATAAAATCTCCAACCGAATAGAAAATGGTAGAAAAGTAATAAGCTAGCTATAAAAGACCCTCATACGTTTTTACTCTCCTGATTACGTGTAAAACTTTAGAGTCGCGATTGTATTTTTTTATATAGACCGAATACACATAACTACAATAATTCACAACAGACAAGTAAAGCGGCAACACATTCATACACATTTCTGTAGTACAATGTAAACCATAGTTCTTATTGCTACTACTACAATTACATTATGCGGCGTGGTATGCTGGATTATTGAGTTCCCTTAAATGTGGTAGAGCGCAATAATGGCTAGCTTATACTCGTAAACAGGTGCTGCCTGTAGGGACTAGTCTGTTCTGGTCACTGCAACTAATATATTTTATTTTATTTTATTTTTATTTTATCTTTACTTGGTGTCCTAGCAATTGTTACACTGATAAGATTTAATATTATAATTATTGTCTATTTATACTTAGTGTAAAATCATTTTAAAGGAAACACAGCATGCTAATTAAGAAAAAAAATAATATGGTATAACAATCTCTTGAAGTATTTGACATTGGTATAGTTTTTTAGATTCAGTAGATGATTGCTTCACATAAGTTTTTAGCTATTCAAATTAACTGCAATGCTTTCCTATAGAAATCCCCTTCTGTATCGAAGTGAATATATTGTTGCTTGCAATCATTCAACAGCTTGCAAAGACGTGGTACAGTGGAGTTGGCACCAAGAACAGTTCTACGGAACGGCACGGACATTAGACCGATGTAACTACGGGGATAGTGTACGGGCAATCGAAAATTAAATTTGTTATATATTCTGTTCCTAAACAACTTATATAAGAACATTAAATCTATTAATGTTCTACGCTTATCAAGTGATACCATATTGAAATAGATAAGTCTGTCCCCGTAGGCCACCAAGGTCTTAGATTGTCGAGCTGAAAAAGCCAAATGCCAGAGAAACCTTTTTTGTATACGCTCTAATCTTAAAATATAGGTCGAATAATGTGGTCGCCAAACCATCGAACCATATTTCAAGACGCTTCGAACTAATGAACAATATAATTTTATTTTAGTTTTTGGATTTACAAATTCCTTGGCATTGCGAATTACAAAACCTAAAGCTCTTGATGCCTTTGCTATTACAAACTCTATATGAGGTAAATATGTTTATTAATTAAGTTACCACTCCATCAGATATGCCCTCAACCATTCTAAGTAGAATAAAAAAATATTTGTTATATATCTATACTAATAGGTATATAGCAACTAATTTTCTTTTCTGTTCTTCTTGGATGAAATTGAATTCGAATGACGGTAAAAATCATAAAAATATGACTATTCAAAATACCTTAATGTAAGTTTATTTGAATATAAATGTACATTACATTCTACACAGAGTGGGAAAATATATTGTAATATACAATGGTAAAGTACCAATGGGAGATGAAAGACCAAAGAAAGAAAAATGAGATCTTCTCATTGGTGAGAAACACGTGTCGTGGAATATTAATATTTTATATATTAAAACTCTAGCATAACGTTATATAACGTAATAATATAAAGTCTAATATAACGTTAAGAGTTAGCATGTACGAAAACATCACTATGCAATTTATATGTACGATAAATGTACACATTAATATATCTATGCACCATTAATAGATTCTTACAAATCATCGCCATCAAATATCGCCGCCACATGCAATCACGATCCATAAAACTAAGTTATTCAAAAGCAAACTTGTCCCCTATCCTATAATCAAATAGGCAATATTTTGTAGGAAGCGGAGTTATATTAGTTGAGTGCGCTGAAACAATCAACAGATAGGATACCAACGCTGCCGCACTCGTCACAATGTAAACAAACAATTAGTAGATATGAACTGATGGACATTACAGACATGCCTTCCTGTCACTTATTTCAAATTAATAGTGTTTGTTATAGCATTTTCATTTCATTGCAAGTAGAAGGAAATCAAAATAACGACGATTGCATGATACCTATCTACTCTATCGTAGGGACTTATTGGGCGCTTAAAGGAATTTTATTATTGCCACTAGCACAATTACTTCAATAGCTTACGTAATCATAATGTTTCTATCTATTTAGTATATGTACCTAATAGTTAATTTAAGCTTTATTATACTAGGCACAGTTGTCTATAATTGAAATAAAAGTAATATAAATAGATTTACAAAACAAAATTAGAGAGGTATGCGAAATTAAAACAGAAAGATTACACATATGTATCTATATATAATAAATTACAGTTAATAAAATAAATACTTGGTATAAATATACAGTAATAGTTTAAATTTCGAGGAACTTTCATATATGTAGATATTATTGTAGGTAATTAAAAGGTAAGATTATGGAATTGCGACGCAAACTTCTTGCAATAATATAGTGCCCAAAGAATTCATTGAATCAATTAATCTTTTAATAAAAATACATTTACCTAATAAGTAGAGACACATCACACTTCAATAGAAGGGCTTCTAGTTGTAATGATAATCCCTCAGCCCTGCCAACCAACCCCTTTACAGTCCGCCATTGCGATTTTGTAATACAATTATGTAAATAGAACAGCTAGCGACATCAGAATCCATACAAAGAACACTACACATTAACACAACCATAATAAGATTTATGTTTATGCATATATTTACCACGGGGCGAGAAGGATAAATAAATAATTTTTACCGCTACTTCAATTGTAGTAAAATTAATAAATATGAGAATCAGGTACGAGATCAATAAACTCTAATTTTTGCGAAAAGAAGTATACCTACAATAAGACCTACGATACGTCTCGAGATCAATAACTAGACATACTATAAATATACACACAAAAAATTAAATAAACGCATTCGAATTGATATCTCTCTACTTTTGAAGTCGCTAAATCTCTAATATAATAATATAGATTAACTATATACAAAAAAGTAATTGAACATAAAAGACATTAAAAATTTGTTATGAGGGGTCTTAACGCTATAGTAATATGACATAGATTAAAAACAGTATAGTATTATAAAAATAAAAACAATAATTTTTAGAATTTTTATCTGTCTTTATAATATTTGTTCCGGCATCGCGCAAAACTACTATATCAAACTGACTGCGGTTATTACACTGGCACTCTTAAAGGATGTTTTTTTTTTGATGGGTGAAAAAGGAATGGTAACCCCGCCTGCGCTAACGGGATACGCTGGCGGATCACCAGTGAAAGGTGATAGATGAGAATGAAAACAGGCCAGTTAGCCCATCATGAGGAATTCGTCAGGAATTAAGCATGATAGTATCCAGGGGGAACCGCGAGGAGGTCGACCTGGTTGGGTATATTGTTAGCAATGGGATTTTCAGTCTCCATCACTAACAATCCCTTTCCCCCCTCTTAAAGGATGTTTTGACATGATACATACTTAGAGAGTAAGTAGGTTACGTCTACGTCTTTGGATACGTTTTATAGAAGTGATCTATATAACTTATTTGAATTCAATTATTTTCATACTTCTAATATCCATATATAAATAGCTTTTTATGTGATGATAATGGTATGGGAACTGCGCCTGCGCTATTGATATAATATATACTGACGAAGCACCAGTAAAGGATGATAATAAAGGTGAAAATAAAGCCAGGTTAGTCGGCCCATCGTAATGGAATTAAGCAAAATAGTTTCCAGGAAGAATCATGTAAAGAAGCTTGGTAGCAATGAAGACTCCATTATTAATAAACCCTATTCCTTCAATATCCATGGTTGCGACGTTGCGGGTAAAAGGTAATATGTAATAATATGTATTCTACGCTCAAATTAATAGGGAGGGAAAAGGAATTGTTAGTAATGGGAGCTAACATTTCATTGTTAGCAATATGCCTAATCAGGATGACCTCTACGCGGTTCTCTCTGGTAACTACCCTAGTTAATTTCTGATGAATTCGTTTCAATGAGCTAATTGATCTGCTTTCATTCTCACCTATCGTTTGTCACTGGTGTTCCGCCAGTGTATACCGACAGCGCTGGCAGGATTACCGCATTCCATTATCACGCATTAAAAAAATGGTACTATCCCAGGATGTCTGAAAAACTACTTTGATGTTTATTGTAGTGATAGCATTATCATCATATCAACCATTAACTGTCCACTGAACACAGCTATTGAACACAGGCTTGGTAGGCGGGTTGACAACCCAGTATTGATATTTTAAGAGGGATTTCGACCATTTATTCCTTTGATTGACGTTTCTTTAAATAAAAATTAGTACAAAAATTTTATATAGTTAAATGGAAGTTCTTTATAGTAAATAAACAGGATATACGAGGTTGACAAAGTACGTATAAAAGTTTTTTAAAAATTTTATTTTACAATTATTCAGGTAAATCAATTTTTATCCCCTTCAAAGTACTCCCCCTGTGACATAATGCATATCTCGACCATTTAGTAGTGATTAATGTTTGTACCTAATTCCTTTGATTGATGTTTCTTTAAATAAAAATTAGTACAAAAATTTTATATAGTAAAATGGAAGTTCTTTATAGTAAATAAACAGTAGATATATATATGATATATGATCCATATTGTTTATACGTTGTTTATTAAAAAAAATTAAAAAAAAAAAAACATTATAACAATATACGTTTTTAAAAACCTGTGTCAAACAGTGGGATGGTATTAGATTTTTGTAAAATAAAATAATTATTAATTGATAACGATAATAATATTATTAATTACAATTCCTTAATAAAACTGATTTAAATATTAACAAAGTTGGTATGTATCTATGTGACCAACACGTAATAAACATATCAATTAAAAAAAGATAAACAAAATTACCTTTTAATTATAGCCGGAGAAATAAATAACCTTTTCTCAAACATGCTTGGAAATGTAAGCATTATTTTGATAATCTTCTTCAAGATAAATCAAAATTGCCGTACTGTCCAGATACTTGCGGGCAGCGGCCGGCAAAAGTTGTATGAAAATCTATATCTGTCGTGTTTTGCGGCCAGATAAACTACTATGTAAACTAATATCTGACTAGTTCTTCGAAACATGGCTACCAAGGAGGTAACTAATAAAAGGTTTTATTTAAATTTTGAACTGGCTTGCAAATAGAAAGCTGTTTATTGAAAAAAAAAACAAAGGAACATTATAGCGCGTGAAAAATTATTACTGTTCGTTATTCGTCTTTGAACTTAAAAAGTAAAATTGTGTTTTTGATTTCCGCGCATTGTTTGAGAAAAGTACTATATAAGCCTTGGCCACAACTAGGCATTGATGGACTCACGTATGTGTGCCTCGGCTACGCCTCGGCCTACATTTGCACGTTCGTCCTTCAATGCCTCAGTTGCTGGCCGCTGCAGTAAATATATTATTTCTGAAGTATTATATCAAATAGTCGCATCGAAAACTAAATAAAAGGTATATTTTAAAAAGTGTTCATAAACCCTAATAGCAATTTCTATCAGGATTTCTCTCTTACAAAGCAAGAAAAAAATTGGTGTCGTGTTGTATCAAGAGATAAAGAAACTCACTACACCTCGAATGACCAAACCACTAAAGAGTGATAAAAGCTCCACCGAGAAGAGCGCAGGTCTTACATAAGGAATGAATTAATGAAATGGGAATACCTAATACCATCTTAAGTAAGGCATCGTAAGCAATTATATCTGTATATAGTTAATATTCTTTTATAATAGATACTTGAGTCATTTCTTAGTTTGTTGATTACCGTATCCACAAGTTAAGAAATAGTTTTAACCGACTTACAAAAGGAAAAATTTTCAATTAGACTATAATTTACCTACAAATATTTTTAAATTAACTACATGTATCCACCTACGCGAATTGTACAAGAATTTTGACGATTCCTTTTGCAATTCATATGATTTACTGTGATATTCATACTATCAAATTTTGTTACGAATGAAATTAGTTTTTGCTATTTTCGGTTTAAAATGATAGGATATTCAACAAGTCTGTATAGCATAGACTTGTTGAATATCCTATCATTTTAAACTGACTTAAAAAAAAGGAAGTTCTCATTTCGACTGTTTGTTTTTTGTTACATGATATCTTCACTAGTTATGTGCTGATTTTGATGTAGTTATATGACATACAAAATCCACAACTATTTTTTAGTTTCTCTGTTTTTTTACTGATACAGATTGCAAGCCAATCTATATCAACTTCTTATCTCTAAAACATATTAATAGAGATAAGTCCTACCTAACAATTGTAAAAAACAAATTTACACATCTTTATTATTCACAGTAATCAACAAATAAAGGCTTTATTTGCTATTATTTTTATTACCTATGACCAGACCACATATATACTACTAACTAAAAATGTAGTTGCAATACTAGTTCTTTAATTTGTAAAGAATAATTCAAGGGTAGTAATGAATTAATAGGAATATTTTAAAGCTAAGCTACCTTAAAATTCTTCGAGGTATCTTAAAGAACTTGAAAACATGTATAAATAAAAATTTAATTAATGTAAAATAGTTAACAAACAACATTCTAATATCTAATAGCAAGTACTTATTGAAACAATTATTTTGCAACATATAATCAAGCTGTCAATAATTTTGTACTTAAAATTTTGTTCCATTTAAACTAAAACGTAAACAAAATTATAACTATTAACAATAGTTTTCAGTACTGAAGTCACTAGAATGAGATCTAAGAATCTCAATAGAAACAACATAATTAAAAATATTTTTTGTTTCCAAATTTTGTTACTTAAGATCAAATTATTTTTCTGTATTTGCATTTTATATGTATTGAACAAATACAAGAACAAAAATAATTCATATTTTAACTATTTAGTCTACAAAATTGTGGGTCTATTTTGTAACATAAAGCACTGTGTGGTGGGTTATAAATGAGGTAATAAAAATTGTATTAACTAAAAGAAAATATATATTATAGTTCATTTTATGTAGGTGATATTTTTATCACAGAATTAATGCTAACAATGATAAAACAATAACATCCTTAATCATCCCAGTTAACTTGGTGACAGTCATGCCATACAAAGGTGCCCTTTTGAGACTGCGGAGCTTCTAATGCCAAATACAGAGGTGCTCTGGCTCCACGTTCAGGAGTAAAATCACCCATGCCTTTTGTCATATCAGACTTCACAAAACCTGGATGAACACAATTTATAGAAATATCTGTGCCTTGTTCACTAAATTGCCGCTGTTGTACAAATGTCAATGCTGACATTGCCACCTTTGATACCTTATAATCTCCATAGTGTCCAGCAAATGATACCATAGTAGTTTTGCCATTTTTAACTGCCTGTAGAAAATCATTAACAAACTGTAAAATTTCATCAACAGTTAGATTGTCTTTTACTAATGTATCAAGCCAAATCTGCTTCCTTATGTTAGACAATAAACCCCAGTCACTGCTAATGTTGATTATGCGAGCATTGTTTTTCAGTAATGGATACAATATTTTGGAAATAGATATCAAACTCAAAAAATTTGTATCAATAAGTTTTTTAGCATCTTCATAGGAAGAAACCGACTTATCAAAGTCCAAAATACCGGCATTGTTCACCAATACATCTATTCCACAATATCTGCTTGCAATGTATGTTGCAAATTCCTGGATACTCTGTTCACATGTAACGTCTAATGTATGAAACAAAGGCCGAAGACCTAAGTCTTCGAGTTTCTTTACTGCTTGTCGTCCTCTTTCTTCGTTTCTAGCTGTGAGGTACACAACACCTTCAAACTTCTGACATAATCCTTTCACGATTTCAAATCCAATACCTTTATTGCTTCCAGTCACTACTGCTACTTTGGTTTCCATTTTGTACATAAAAATTTAGAACGATACTTGCGTAGAAAATACTACGTTGTAAAAATAAATATTTATTTTATTTTATCACCAACACATGACATTACTTCCTCCCGGTCATTTTTGACATTTCATTTTGTAAGGTTGGTGTTTTGTCTCTTTTTTTATCAGTCACGTTCATACCAGAGATTATATTTATACAGCCATATAATAACATGAATTAATAATTGATAACAATTAAAAAATAATAATTACCACACTTTAGAGCAATTATTTAATATAAATTTTAAAAATAATAAAAGGAGCATAAAGCATTCTTGTACTCCCAAATAATCAATACATCTCTATTAGAAAAATTTTGTTTTTTTACAAAAAAAAAACACTACTTATTACCCATCAGAAAAAAATCATTCACGAAAGAATTTAACATTTTGTACCAAAAAAACATCTAGAGTAAATAAATAAATTTTTAAAAATATGTTATTAAAGTATTAAAATGGCCGTGTGATACAGCATGAAATATTCATTAAAATCAGACAGTATGATTGCCAATCCACTTAGTAAGCATGATAACTTCTGGCTAAACTTCTGTTATGAGGCTTATGTTCAGCAGTAGACAGTTACCGGGTGATAATAATGTAACTTCATTAGAAATAGAAACCTTATTTATCTCAAGATAATTATAGAAAAGAAAATTATCACAGGTGATTTGTCTGTTATAATTTTGACTGAAATTGTTCGATAACGGCAAGTTCCTATAATAAAATTTAAAGAATAGTTTGCACTCTACAGTTTATATTCACTTTACTCAAAAACTTAGTATAACGTATTTTATATGGATTTGATATAAAGGATACATTTAAATAAAATTGCGTAGTAATGGTATAATTGATTTTATGATTGTAATGAAAATTTAAGGATTTAGTGGAAAAATATTAATACTATAGATAAACCTAGGGCAATAGTGCTATACAAAAAAATACAAGCCAGCAGTCTTATGACACTAAAATTAAATAATAATGTCATTTTAAAATATACTTACAAGCCATCACAAAAATATTACAATTAAGTAAATTATTATAATTCCATTTATGAAAAATTATAATTTAATGACTAAAAAATGCAACATTTTGCCTATATAAATTTCACACACTTTTCAGCATTAACTCACTATTGTCAATGGCATTTGTTCATCAAACAGATCAAATCGACTACAATTTCATACATACTTAGATACATAATATAAGAGACGAGACATTCGAGCAATTGATCTAGCACGCATATTATCTTATTTGTAAAAAAAAGATAGAGTACAACTGGAGTAGTCTCATCTCTGTATTACAATTAGCAAAATATACTTACTTTACGCCATTTGACCATCTACCAAGTTCATTAGAAATATATTACACTACCAAATATAGTACTAAGTTCAAAATAATGAATTTTGAACTTAGTCATAAATGTGAAAATGAAGTGATCTCACAAGATAATTTCTAATAGTGCATCATTTAATTAATATTCTTTTGCCGATAATACATTTGATAGTGTAATGTACACCTAAATACTTAATTCAGCTTAACCTAGTCGATTTTCACTGCGGCGTAAATTTTTCTAATAAATGTGTAGGCTGCAAAGAATCCAATGGTGCCAGTCAAAAGCCAGAATGTTAACACCATAAGACCTGAAATTACACAAAATTGTATTGTTTATAACTAAAATAGTATTATTATATATAATAATTATATAACCAAAAATATTAATGCTTTAAATATAATACATATACATATTTATGTGAGACAAAAAATAATTAATTTATCATCTATATCAAGATCTTTAGGGAAATTTAATAACAATAAAAATAAACACATATATAAGAAAAATAGGCAAAGAGTTTGGACAGAGGAAACAATGTCTTAATCCTTGGGAACTAAGTTCCCAATATATTCTATAATGCTACAAACATGAATAGCACATGTTTATTGGCAAAGATTAGCACTTTTCATCAGGTGAGCGACAAATTATCCATTATTACTAGTTACGTAAAAGAATCTATACAAACAAGATTATAAACATTACCTGTGTATCCAATGTAAAGCAAAGTTGGTATAAACTCAGTTATTTCTAGTTTGGTGAAGAAATAAAATACTGAGTATACTAAAATGTATACAGCAGATCCTCCAGACACAATAAAGCTTTTCCACCACCAGTGATAATCCTGAAATTGGAATATCATATAAAGAAAAATCTGTCATGCCTACCTATCTCAATTGGAGACAGGCATAATAGATATGTATAAGGAAAAAATGTTTAAACCAAAATATTCACTGTAAAATATAAAAAAATAACTTCTTACATATGAGTACAATTGATTATAAAGATATTAATTTGAAATCCCTAAGGATTGGGTTTTTGAAAACAACTTTTAAAAAAATATTACCTCGCCACAGAGCTGAAAGTAGACCATGACAATTGATATTTGTGATACAGACACTACTAAAATGCAAAATACCAGGAACAGGAAACCAAAAAGATAGTAGAATTGATTTTCCCATAATGCATTAAATATGAAAAATAATTCGATAAATACAGCTCCAAATGGAAGTATCCCAGCCATTAAAATACTGAAAAATAAAAATAGTACAAAAAGTATTAGATTAAAAAGATGTTTCCAAGTTCTTTCAAATTGTCTTTATAAATTTTTCTCTTGGGTTCTGAATGCTGTTATCTGCCGAGAATAACCCACAAGGGACTTAACAGTTACTCTTTACAATTTGTAATTTATCTTCAAGATTATTTTACATCGGTATGGGTATTGTGACTATAATTAGCACTGAGTTGTAATGAACATGGCTTGCTTCAAGTTATTTGACTACCAACAGAAACAGATTTTCATATTTAAAATATATGTCTTTCTACAAGAGTGCTATAAAGGTCCTGAACCTCCTGCATCTATTGACTTCTTGCAAAATACTTGGGGTGGTACCTATTAAATTTATGAGATAGAGACTGTAGAAAAAATATTTGATTGGGTACCTTGCTCAATTCATGTTTCTGCCATGAAACAGTTGTTTGCATGGCTGTGTTTTGGTTTCAAGGGTGGCATATGGCAATGGAATTAAAGGGGCAAAATACCTTAGTTCTTAGGAATAACAATGGATGAAGGGTATCATGGGCGACACAATATACTCTGTTATGTCCATGGTATTATATCTATAGGCAATGGTTACCACTATCCATCAGGTGAACCATCAACTTGTTAGGTATTCTAATTAGAAAATTTCACAAATAATATAATTTTGTGAAAGTGCTCAGTAGCTATAAAAAAATACTGTTCCTTATATATAATAATTAAAAAGTAAAATGTAAGACATATAAAGACTGCAAATTATCATTATCATCATGAATATACAAATATGACATCTATTATTATCAGGAAAGCAGTATGCTTACTTGCTGGCTAATGGCTCTTTTATATGGTACTAACAGATAGGTAGTTGTTAACCATAGCAAGGTACTCATATTTAATATGTATGTAGAATTGTAATGCTTGAATTTTACCATGTAATATAGAATTGTAGACTTGCCAATCTTACAGTTTAAATTATCTTAAAGCCACCATCACTACATGACATTTCACTATAATCCTCATCACAAGTGGTGCAACACCATCGTTACAATAACATATGCAAGAACTCTTAGTGTTACAAATAATATTTCTTACCATATAAATATATTCATATACCAAACTTGATCAGGTACTTTTCTTGGAATGAAATTAGTCCTTACAGGATGTTGGAAGGGTTGTTTACGGCAACCAAAGTAATAGCCCAAGTATACTAATGGTAGTGATATACAAAACCATAAGCACAGTAGAGCCATCATAGTGGAAAAAGGTACTGCACCACTGGAATGTTTGCCCATAATAAAAAAATTTAAAAAGAAGCAAGTGCCAAAGACAATAGCTGGATAAAGTGTAGCCGTAAGAAATGCAGCCTGTTTCCATTGTTTCCCTTTCATGGTACTGTACAAGCGTGCTGAGTAGTAGCCAGCAATAAGACCCATAAATACATAGAGGAATATAGCTGCGGTCATCAATGCACCTCTGCTTGCTGGCGACAACATGCCAAGCATTGCTATAACTGTAACAAATATTATAAGATATTAACAATAAGACACATACTAAAATATAAGTAAACTAGTCAATAAAATATTATTTACTTACAGATAGTTATGAGAGCCATTAAAAAGACTTGAATACCACTTCCAATAACAGCTGCAAATAGCATTCTCCTTGGAGGTGGACGGAAGACATCGCCATGAACCAATTTCCAGCCAGTTTCCTCAATCATATCATCAATGCTTTCATCGGAATTGTAACGAGCTATATCTCGTCTTAATGTTCTCACCATAATCATTGTCAATATGCCTATACAAATAAAAATTACTTAATAATTATTTATTATTACATAAAATATACCTACATTTTTTATTAAAATCTTTATTGTGGTAACTTGAAGTAATTATTATTATACTAGTAAACTTACTGTTCTATAGTAATCATAAATATTTTGGTGTTACTAACAATTATAGTTCAATAATGTTAATCAAATAGCTATCAATATGATGCAATATCCCAAAATGCATATGAAAATATGAAAAATACACCCAAAATATTTATATCTGATAAAATATAAGAAATACTTGCCAGATAAAAAAAATAACACAACAATGGAATTAACAATGGAGAACCAATGTATTTGCACATCTTTCATTCCCAAATATATATCCCATCTGGACGCCCATCCTATTTCTGATTCTCCCCACTCTACAGAATAAGTAAAATAAAGTTTTGTTCCTGTTTCCTCATTGACAAGCTGTGGTTTTGGATCTGATGGGAATTGACATGATTCATCCACAAAACTCAATTCATCTTTATCAACAGACAATGTTTCTACTTCAAACCCTACTACTCTATATGAGTCTCTGAAAATTGAAAATATTGATAAATTTATTTCATTCAAATTTAGTAGGGAATATATCAAATAATATGGTACATATGAAAAACATAAGTTCCAGTATAATATAGAAAATACCAACTTACTGGCTATGTTTATGGTATTTTAATAAAAGTTTTAAATGATTGTTGATATATGCTTTGCCCTTGGTCATAAAACCTAATCGGTATCCTTGTTCTATAGTCCTTTCTGATGTGTCAATATTAATTACTCTTGTTGCTACTGGGAGATTGTCAACTAATCTATTAAACAAAAAATGTTACAAAATCATTATATTGTGTTTAATGATATTCAAGTAAATGGAGGAAAGTGCATCATTTTCTTTTTCTATTCATACCTGTTAGACCTCATAAAACAATTACTTTTCTATGTACAACTCTGTCATATGATTAAAAAATATGTAATATTTACTGGATAAAATACAAATCATTATAATCGTTTCACAACAGTTAATATTTTACATTTTATTATTTTAATTTAACATTATTTTTACTTACAAATGAACAAAGTACTCATGTTCTATACGACTTGCAACTTTCTCAGATTCTTCCACACTCCAATTAATTGGAGTATTCTTTTGATGGCACAGTAATCTACACTTGATATTCTCTGCCATGTGTACCTCATATGGAGTGTTAACTATGCGATCGCCTCGTAGCACTTCCCCCAAATTTTCGGATTTATAAACAAATGTTCCATTTTTAGGCAAACATAATGGTAGGGAATAATATTCGTATGGCAATTGTGTATGAATGCTAGTCATTTTAACAGCTTTAACTTCAATTCTTTGACCTTTTCTGAACTCCACCGGTGCCACTCCGGGAACGTAGAAACCATGGCTACCAATTATTAAGGTGCTAATGGTAAAATACTGCAAAATAGCCTAAAAATTAATTATAAATCAGATCACCCATTAAAGAACATAAAAAGAACTGAGATCGCTTTAATTTCAATAACTTTATTTTGGATTAACTTACTAGAAACATATTTAATCATCAACTTTCATAAAAAAAGAATAATTCATTTATCAATTCTTGCATTTTCTTGCAACAACAATACAATTTTCATTAAATAATACTATGAAAAATTATCGGGATTTATTAGCATTCAAAGTCAATCAGTCAATGAATCATTCACAGAACATAGATTACTCCATTTCTATTTTTTTCCTTATTAATTTGATTCAGATAATCTACTCTGTGACAGAATTTGTATATGATGTGGGTATCTTGCGCAGTGCAAGCTCTTGTTACAATTTAAGAACAAGGAATTACATAGAAGGAATCATAAAATAAAAACTGTAAATCATATGGTTGCCTCCTTTCTTCTTAAATTTTTTTATATACCACTGAGGTGGCAAACAAGCATACGGCCCACCTGATGGTAAGTGGTTACCGTAGCCTATGAACATCTGCAATACCAGAGGCATTACGCGCGCATTGCCAACCCTGAAGAAACCTCTTTACCCCCCTTTTGAAGAACCCCATGCTGTAGTCTCTTGGGAAAACCTCGGCAAGGAGCCCATTCCACAATCTGAGTGTTCGTGAGAGGAAACATTTCTGAAACCGCGCAGTACGCGACCATTGAGGCTGTAGGACATGAAGATGAACTCCCTGTCGATGGCGAGCCGTACGATGGTAGAAAGTGACCGTGGGCATCATATTGAACAATTCCTCTAAGCACAATCCATTGAACAGGCGGTAGAACACGCAAAGTGAAGCAAAATCTCTCCTAAGACTTAAGGGTTCGATACCGCTTGTGAGCCTGGAATCATCAACAATTTTCATAGCTCGTCGTTGCAACGAGTCGAAAGGTTCAAGCTGGTATTTAGGTGCTCCGGCCCATAAGTGATAGCAATACTCCATGTGGGGCCGGATTTGCGATTTGTACAGAATTAATCGCTGATCCGGCGTGAAGTAATGCCTCGCGCTATTGAGCACACCGAGTTTTTTGGATACCAACTTCACCTTATCTTCAAGGTGGCCACGGAATTGTACGTCACTAGAGATGTCGACACCAAGGATCCCAATGCTTTTAGAGATGTTAAGAGACATGCCTTGGAACTGTGGAGCCACAGCAAATGGGGTTTTCTTAGCGGTGAACGCGCAAGCTTGTGTCTTAGCGGAGTTAAACTGGACTAAGTTTTGTCGTCCCCAATCGGAGACTCTATTTAACGTTCTCTCGATTTTAGACACAAGCTGTTCACGACTGTCCTCCACGATGGAACGAGGAACATTGGTATGACCCGTATAATGGGCATCCCCAGTGCTGTCATCCGCATAACAATGAATGTCACCTAAGGACAACATATCATTAATATGCAGGAACAACGTCGGGGATAGCACAGAGCCTTGCGGGACGCCAGCGTTCGGAGCAGCAACCATCAACAGCGGTTTTTATGCATCTGCCGGACAATTCTTATGCGAATATAATTAGTAAAAAGGACCGAAAAATACATCATTATTTATCAATGACAAATTTTATATTACTAGATTATATAACACAGTTTATGTAGAAAGTATGCAAGTAGGTTGTATCTGAATTTGGTAGGGTTATACGGCTGTATAACATTTTCTATACACTAGCCTGCTACGAACTGACAATTTTATCATCTCCTATATGTAATTCCTTGTTCTTAGAGAAGAAATGATAAAATAAAAACAGGAAATCATATGATTGCCTCCTTTTTTTCTTATGCAAATATAATTAAAATAGTAAAATGAGGACGAAAAATACACCATCAGTTGCTATTTTTGTCAATTCATCATCGTTAGCTTAGTCATTATCTGTGCGAGTAATCCAATTAATATAAATAAAATAAAATTAGGTTTCGATGGAAGCAGGTGAAGAAAAATAGTAGATGATGAGTTCAGAAAATTTTTAATAATTTAATTCGATTCCATAAGAAAGAACATCAAGAAAAATATTCAAATTATTTGTCATTAACAGAAAAATAAAATAACAAATACAAAGAGGTATCACGACATACATACCACCTTGCGCATACGCATTACTACAGCGCAATAACAAAACACAAAATCATATGTCAAGTCGATGACGAAGTTTCACAGGACGACCAGAACGTGTAGTCTTGAGAAGGACTACACGTTCTGGTAGTGAAGGCTGGAGAATTTTCAACCTCAACTTTAGGATCAATAACTTTATCTTTTGATCCCGATGGCCGCGGAAACTGAATATCTTCTAATTGTGACACCTCTAGAGGGAATAAACGTTGTAAAGGTCGAAAACGTTCGCCTTTAGCCGTTTTAATATGAGCTACCCTACCAACGTTATCAACACCAAGATACAAGGTTCAAGGTACGAATATCTTTAAGTTTTGTTTTATGGCAACAGTAGATATTAATATTTTGGTTGAAGGAATACATACATACTGCTGTAACTTCGAAAAGCATTTAAATTTCCTTGTTCCGTGGATAAAAGGCCACTGCCAACTCTTATAATGTAGTCATTATTTGTTCTGTGGTGATTATATGCTCTGTGGCAAATATATAATTCATGTATTAATATTTTGTTTAATTATTGAAGCATCAATTTTTCTTCTTTTTAAAATTAATGATAATAAAAAAATATCTATTCAAAATATTTTGTACAATGTGTAGAGTTTGAAACTAATCAATACAATATTTAAGTTTTTATTCTAATTGAGGTTAAATCGAGAACAACATGGTGCAGGTATTATTTTTTTAACATTTTGAATTTTTCAAAAGGAATTAGAGACTTAGAAATAAATTCTTTTTTATTTTAGGCTACCGATGAAATGGAGCAACCTGACTTGCCACAAGCTGTTAACTTACTGAAGGAAATGAATACGAATATACAGCATGTGTCCCAGCTTGTAGACAACATGTTGGATCGAGTGAAGAATGGAGAAATCACGACTGATAGTGGTCTTTCTTTCTTAGAAATGAAGTATCAGATGCTTTTGAGTTATTTAATCAATCTTACTTATATTGTCCTTAGAAAGTGCTCTGGTGAAAGAATAGAATCTGATCCCTCAATCGACAGACTTATAGAGATAAGAACAGTACTTGAAAAAATAAGACCCATAGATTCTAAATTAAAATATCAAATTGATAAACTTGTAAAAACCGCAGTTGTAGGAGCTACATCTGAAGATGATCCACATTTATACCATGCTAATCCTTCAAATTTAGTAAGTAAACTTGATAATACAGAAGAAGGCTCAACTGATATATCTGCTGATGAAGAAGATAAAGAGAAAGCAAATAAATCAAATATTTATGTACCACCTAAATTGGCAGCAGTTCATTATGATGAGAGAGTTTCACGTACTGATGGTGAAAACAAAAATAAGGAACGGTCAAAGAAACAATTTTTAAACTCAAGTGTGATGCGTGAACTACGTGAAGAATATTCTGAAGCACCTTTAGAGGTGAGCACTGGGAATCATGTGAAACATTCAATATCTAAATTAGAACAAGAAAAGACTGAATATGAAGAGAATTATCTCACTCGTTTACCTGTTACAAAAGCAGAAAAGAATAGAAGAAAAAATCTGACAACAGTTGGTGTGTTAGCAGATGAAATAACTGGTCGTAGTACAGGTCGTAACATATCACGTAAACATAAAATAAAATCCAAAAAAGGAAAAGGATTTAAAAGAAGGCGTACTCATTAATATTTAAATTAAATAGTGAGTCTAATTATCTCCATTTTTAAAATTTCAGTTATTTTTGCAATTGAGATTAGACTGACTATGCTTTTTCTATGACCATTGATTTTATGTGACTGCAGGGTTTTCACAAGCTGGGCCATAAGTTTTGCTTAAATACTAAAATTATTTAGATAATATACTAAATATTAGTGGCCACTTATATTTTATTAATGGTCCATTTGCAAGCCCATGCATTTATATACAAAAGGCTTTGTATACTTATTATAAATTAATTCTAAGAGTATTACATAATATTTATAATTATTAAAATTAAAAAGAATTTAGATTGTTACTGAAACTATTTGTTTCATTAATAATCTAAAATACTTTAAACAGCAACAGAGAATAAGATGAATACTAATTTATTTAATACAAATTAATTAAATTGAAGGTAAAAATTAATTAAATATTATTTCTCGCCTATTTTATTATTCTAGTTAGAATAATAAATTCTTATTATAAAAAAAAACAATCACATATTGATTTTCACATAAAGTAGAAAACCATGAATTAACTCTTAAATGTAACAAATTTAAGAGTTAATTCATGGTTTTCTACTTTTTATGAATAACTGTTATAGAAAATAATAAGCCAGAATGAAAGTAATATGAAGCAAATCCCTTAATAGCTATGTTAGGAATTTGCAGAATCACAAAATATTACCAAGAGGTATCACTATTGAATATATGGGATCATAATTATGTTTTATTTACACTTATAAGTACATGCAGTCCAGGAAATTTGTAATCTAACTTTTTTGGACAAATTTAATATTGCTATTCAGAGAGTCATTGAAGTTGTTTAATTGTCACATATGTAACATAAGCATTATAACTTGGTGTCGACTCATAATTAATGATGATTCAATATTATGATATGAAAATTTAAAATGTTACCTGTAAAGTATGGTCCCTTTTTGATCCCTAAATTTTTATATAAGATTAAAAAATTCTATTTAGGAGGTTTAGAGGCAGCTTAATTAAAAAAAAAATGCATAAATATTCTAAATGGTATTCCTACAAATGTATATAATTTGTAGGAATACCATTTAGAATATTTCTTTATTTTTATATTTTTAAAATATTAAACTATTCAAGTATTTCTTACAAAAAATTAATCCTAATATATTGTTGCAACTGTTAAGTTAGAAAGTTATAAAAACTAAATTATATATTTAAAATAAAGTACCAAAAAGAATTGTTCAAAATCATCCCCTGAACTCCATAAAAGGAGTTGAAATTTTATATAGAAGTTTTAACTTGAAAGAAGAGCAGATAATTCTAAAATGTTGGTTTTTCTCCACAAATTACACATGAAATATTTATATACGCTTAATTGTCAAAAAATATTAATAATTAAAACTTTTTTTGCTTTTAACAAGAATTAAGAAAAAATCTGAAACAAAGCATATTCCATGGCAACAACTTTGTAAATATGGTCCTATATATAATATAGTGTAATATACCCCTTAAAACAGATAAGTAAAATCTAAATAAATAGATATCAATTGTTCCTAATTTAGAGCTTATGCCTGCTGTTTTGATAACATAGAATACTTCTCGAATGATTTATAGATAAGAGATTGTGATTATACCTTGAAATACCAATAGCTATAATTTGAATCTAGTTGGAAGTAAATTTTTTCAAGCTTATTATTTAAATGCAATGTTTTCAAATTTTAATAACTAATTGTATTTATTTTCATTCATAAAATAATTTTAGACTTGGGCCAGTTGTGAAACCCAAATTTTCTTTTTAATTATGTTGACAATTTGCCATTTTTCTGTTTAAATGTTATGTTATATTCATTTCAATTGTGTTATGTTCTATTTTTGTATCGTTAGGTATATAAGTATTAAGGTAATAAATCGTTTTAATTATATATGTTTTTACTTCTTGTTCAATATTTTATCTACCATCGGGAAGTCCTGTAGACAAGTGGCAGGGTTAAAGGACTGGTAACGGAACAATCGCATCTCGCGGATGTGACCAATAGGAGTATGCGTATCAAGACATTGGTAATCTCCCCGCGGCGGCGCCGTTCCATGATTATGCGTTAAATCCGACCTAATGACGCGATTCAATAACCATTCTGGTGAAGACATAGTTAGCTGAAAAATAAAACTATATTTAGCAGTTGTCCGGTGGCATTTGAATAGATATAACATTACGTTTATTCAAAATGATTATAATTGTCGATGATTTGTAATGTATACTAACCGGTTTCATAACTGATGGAAAAGGATTTCGGTAATCATCTTGTTGGGTCGTCACGTAATCCATTATACCAAAATCAGCAGGAAGTGGCGCTAAGTCAGCATTTCTCATTAACTTGTTACGTCCCGGCGTACTAAATAGATATGAGTGTGGATATACTAAATGTTACTGATATACATACCAATACGTAATACAAACTATGTCTATGACATATATCTACTATTTTACTGAATTAGGTGTTATCTTGAGGAAGTCCATATCACAGCAATTCGCAGTTTGACTGCCAAATGATTAATACTAGGCTATTAATTAGCAGCGATCTATTAATTTGTATACATAAAGTTCATAAATTATATATATAGCATGGTATACACCGGCGGGGCACCAGTGAAGGATGATAGGTGAGAATGAAGCAGGTCAGTTAGCCCATCGTGACGAATTCAACAAGAATTGTTCACGATGGTTTCCAGGGGGAACCACATGGAGGTCGGTATATTATATACCCAATCTATATTATAATATATATACTATATAAATAATATTTTGTAGCCAATAAATATTTTCTATTCTACTTTATTCTAAATATAACTTACTCGGTACATGGATAGGAGGTAAAATTAACTAGGGGCTTGAAATTATAGATTGGGTCTGTTTTGGTAAACACTTGTGCGAGCATATGACGAGTTTCAGTCATTCGCACCCCTTGGTCTTCATTTCCCCATCGAACATAAGTGCTTATGTGATTACTCAAATTATCACGATAGACGTTATTATCTTTTTTTTCGGCATGAATTGAATAATCCCAATTTTCTACTTTCACATGTGGAGAATAAGTATTTTTTGAAAATAATATTTGTTGTGGTTTTTTGGCCATAGGATTTTTCGTCCTCATATTGATCAAGTTACTTGTATGAAAATAAAGTAGTAGCTATGTACATAACGTAGAAATTAAGCGTTATAATTTTAAGTACGACTGTCATACAGTGACATTTTTTATTCTATTTTGTTAAAACTTTGCCAGTCATATCGGAGTTCCTATTTTCATCGCTTTTTATTTTGTACATCTAGGTAGGTAATATAATTATTTATGTTCTCATTATTCGACTGTATTTTTTGTATGTAGGCGTAAATATGTATTTCCATATTTCACCTAATGTAAAACTGATTCAGATAATTCCTTTAACTATAGTTTACCCGAGTTCTAGTATTGAATAAATGTCTTCCGAAATTTCATGGCCGAAAGAAATACAAACTTGATGTTAAAATTACATAATAAAAAATAATAAATAAAAAATGTTAAAATATAGTTCCTTTAGACTTTTATGGTAGGATTTGATAAACGAAATATTAAGCTCCATTTACTGGGCCGATTTCGGTATGACCTAAAATACGAAATTGAGTCCGAAAATTCGGAATATCATTTCATGGTAGATCCCCAGATTTTTAATAATTTATACAAATGCATATCTGTTACTATTCCAACTACTTAAAATTCATAATAAATAGACGTACAAATCATATAGATTGCGCCGTCTAGTCCCAATGTACCTACCAATCTAATTTATCCAGCGACCTAGGGGTTGGTGCTCCCGATGATGAATTTGGGACAAAGACACTCACTCCGAGGCCCCCACCTGATCCCTTCTAGGAGGGCTAAGAAGCCCTGTGCGATTATTTTTAGGTGTATATGGTGCGCGAATAATTTTTTCGCAATCGATAGGGTTTAAGTACCCCTGTGTCGGATACATATTGACTTTGTGCCTGAATTTGCTGTTTTTTATTATTTTAAATAAAATTAGAACGCAACGAAAAAACATTTTTTTTATTTGTATAAATAAACAATATTAGTTAAAATTAGCTTATTTTTTTATTTGGTTTTATACCTCGTTAAGTTAGGTTATATATTTATAACATCATTAGAAAGTTTCTCGCGCCATCGCATTTCTTCGTCTTTTATACGAATGCTCTCTTCTGTGCAAGTAACAAAGGCTTCAAAGAACTCAAAGAAAGTAATATTTATATCTAAATTCATTATTTTGTCCTTTTCACGGAGTTGTGGAAAAATGCGTGCAAAAATTGATATGACAGTTTTACTCGATAAATTTCCAAAATTGAACAGCCTGAGCTCAACGTCATCTTTATTAGTATTTTCATTTTCATAGGATAATTGTTTATCTGAAATATAAAAATTTAACAATTCATGCCGCGATGTGGTTGGAAATTATGTACCAGTAAACTAAGTACCTCAATATCTAAATGACTACATATAACTTAAATATTTACATACATAAATAATTAATCAAACTATAGTGCAATTTAGGTACATATTATATATTAGTAACCCGCCCCGGCTTGACATGCGTAGATAGATAGAAAGATAAATTAATATTTTAAATTAGTACTTGACCAGTAGAAGATAAATAGATTAATTTAAACAAAAAACATATTAATTTAGATATATAGCTTCACGAACGTTTTTGTATTTTAAGTGTTATTAATAGTTATCGCAGTGCATGCCAAATAATGACTGACTAAATTTATAATAAAGAGATTTGTTTAAATTGTTAGGTAAGGATATCTAGAATTTTTCGCACCAGATTGTCTTTACTTACTGTAAAAGGGACCTAGTATGAAATAGAACGTATAAACTTTTTATTACTTTTACTTTTTTTACCAATACTAGGTATATCATCTTATTACCGGTTATAAATATCATTTCATCTCCAAAAATATAAGCATTGCGGCCAAGAGGTAAATGCTTGTTAGGTGCTTCGATAAGAGCTGGTTGTGATAAATCTAGGTAATGAGATGGATGGCGTATAGCGCATAAAAAATTCCGAACTGTATGAGGCTCTCCAAGTTTAAGGTACAGATTATATAATCCTTTTAGCGGTAGGTACGCTCCGTAGCCGTTGGTTAATCGCCCTAAAATGTACAAAACAAAACTTTCAGTTGTCTATAAATATCATAAACATCTACTCATGTTTAATATTTTATATTAACAACTAGCTGATGCCTGCGACTTTGTCCGCATGGTATTTGTTATTCTTATATAGTATGTATCAATATAAGTACCTATTTATTATATCTAGGAATACTGAACTAAAATTAACAAATAACGTGTCATTGTCACTATTTACTTTAGATCAAAATAACTTTACTTAACTAGGTTGTGTACTAAGCTGTTTTTTAAGTATCCAACGGGAACTCTTTAATTTTCTATGATTAAAAATATCTAAAATGTTGGCTGGGGATGTGAGGTACCACTATGCAAAATTCCATTTAAATCGATCTAAAAGTTTCTGAGATTAGCCCGTACATATTAGACAAAGAAACAAAAATGTGAAAAAAATATGGATGTGCTCTATTTCATTTCTAACATCCCCCTAATTCGGATTTTAACGTTTTTTTTTTTCTATTTACAGATATTCGACCTCTATAGTTTTATTATATGTATAGAAGATAAGTTCTTTACGACAAAAAGGACCTAATTATATCCTAATAGTATGTAGTATATAATAGGTAGCGTTTTAACCTTTGCATACACGAGCGCCAAATAATACATCGTTTTCCATGAACGTCCTAAATGCGCTCGCTAAAATTGTATCAGGTTTTTTGCCTGGAAGTTGCCTTTTGGCATATAATTTGCTAGCAACCGATATCAAACTATGTACAAATTGCCAAAAATAAATTTTTTCGAAAGGATTATGAGGAGATCTAGCTAGCCATTCTGGATTTTGATAAAACAAAACATCTATCTCTACTAGTGTCAATCCTTTTTCGTGCACATTGCAATCAAAATACAGTTGCCACAAAAATAACCGTATAAGAACAGGCGTAAAATGTATCTCTTCAGAATTGCATATTGTCGCATATTTATAATAAATATTTTTTAAATCTGCTTCATAACATCTGAGAGATTTTCTTAAAGAAAGTTCTTCAAACTCTATTAAGTCATCAAAATTAATAACATTGTCACTCTGCTGATATGGAATATCATCTTTGTGTGTTGTACCGGCAATATCTATTTCAAGTGCTTTATTGTTTTCAATATATTCATAAATTATATTTGCCCTAATATCTTGCTGTTTATCTATATTTTTTAGAGCTTGTTCTACATGATAGATAAGCCCCACTGTACTATCACATATATCAAATTTGAAAAGTTCTTGTTGCTGAGAACGTTTTTGTTCGTAAAGGGCAGTTTTTTCTTCTTGATTATCGAATGACATAGCGCCAATATTATCATCAAAGAACAAATGTTTGTCTTGTAGTATCATACCGTTATTAGTGACAAACTTTCCTACACCGTGTTTTTTGTTATTTTTAAATTCTCCTTTATAATGTGATCCCAAACCTAAACCTAAATTCAAAATTCCATAACCGTTTCGAAGACCTTTTTCCCATGAACCACGGTAAGCATTAATTGATGGTAATGACATTGAATTGTTGTAACAAGCATCCCAAATATAAATGCCATATCCAGACATAACACCGTTTTTCCACTCACCCTTATAAAACTGAATAAATAAAAATTATGGATTAGATAATTTAAAATACAAATGCAAAATCGATTTTCTAAGACTCAGTTAGCCTTTATTATAATATAAGAAGTCTACTAGTGTGGCTTATCGGACAATATACTCCTAAATTACTAGTACATGTTCATGTAGTTAATGATTACTTATGGGACCGAAACATGGTAAACTAGCAGTGTTTGCGGTTTATAGTATAGTTTTATATATGTTATTGTAATTACGAAGAGAGGCTAAAAAAGAAACATTTACAGAAGAACCAAAATGACCACTATTATTGAGTAGTTCAGTTACAGGGAGAAAAGGCTGTCAAGTGGTGATTTTGTGCAGTACAATATGAGTATAAGTCACTTTTAAATGGAGCAAAGAATTTAAATATTCTTAATAATAATAATAAAAAGTGCAACACACAACACCGATCACCTTGTCCTCAATCTAGTTTATCCTGTATAATGAGGACCAGGTAGCAAAAACTTGGTGCCACAACCTAGAATACCTAGACAAAAACCAAATCATAAAGTTTATTTCCAAAATTGTACGACCAAAAATCAAACCCGGAACCTGATTTGTTTTGTGTAAATAAAGTTCCGGGCAACGTGCCCACGACTGCGCCTGAAGGATGCACGTGTCCCAGGATCCTCTCTTTCAGAAGTCTATATAGACGGACCGAACATATTATATACACTTACATCGTGATTCGGCCATATCATTAATCCTTTACCATCTCTTACGTATTTGTCCCAATCACCTTTATAACCGCTCATTGCACAGTATTCCCGAGATCCAAAACCATGACGAACATTCTGTTTGAAATCAATGTAGGTGATAATAATTATAGTAACAATATTATCGAGCACAGAAATAAAGAATTAGGTTAAGTCAAATAATTATGTGATTTTAAAATTATAATCAAGAAATAAAAAGTAGCTGTAAATAGGTGATCTATATACTTGAGAACAGGTGAACATATTTGGCTATTATTTAAAGTTCATAATAATACAATCAAAGTTTTTAAGAGAAAATAATTAGAACTTGGACAGGATCGTGTCGTGTTAGATGAGTTACTTAATTGTCATTAAAAGTACATGACAAAATTATTATTAAACTATAAATAAAAACATGTTTTTATTAAATAACTTAGATACCTAGCGTACATAATAACTTCGCTAATTCTAAAACAATTTTAATGACTACGTGAGACACTCAGAAAGTTTTGCGACACAAAAAAAATGGTCTATAGGTAAATATATTATTATTACATCTTTTCAAAGTACTCTCCACCAACCTCTATACAAAGTTTCATGCGTCTGAACCTATTTTCGAAGCATTTTTTCCAGTTCGCCGCAGACACCTCGTTTACAGCCTGCTCGAACGCTGAGAGCGCATCATTCGGCGACGAAAATTGTATCGCTTTGAGCTGATATTTTATTTTTGCGAATAAGAAGTCACACGGTGCTAGGTTAGGGTTGTAAGGAGGGTTACCCAGGAGTTTGACCAGTGTGCTGTCTAGGAAGTCCCTCGTTTTGATTGCGGTGTAGGCGGGCGCATTATCGTGGTGGAGCAGTAGCCCGCGGAGCCCTGTGTTTGGTCGTTTGTTGCTCACAACAGGGAAAACTTCTACCAAGCATTTGGTAGTATACCATTCAGCGTTAATGCTTCTTTGGTTTCGTAAAAAAATTGACACCAAGTAGCCAGTCGAGTTGAAAAAGCTCGCGATCAAAATCTTCCCCCCGCTTCTAGGTCGCTTTACTTTGGTAGGCGTTGATTCCTTTTGAAACACCCAAACCGCCGACTAGCGCTTTGTATCTGGATAGTATTGATAAATCCAGGATTCATCACCTGTAACGATGTCGTAAACACGCCGAGTCGAGCCTGCTTCAAATTTGTCTATCATATCATGGCACCATTCCACCCTTGCCTGCTTCTGAACATCGGTGAGGTTGTGCGGCACCCAGCGTGAAACTGTCCTCCGCACCCGTAGATGCACGTGTAGAATCTCGTAAATGCTTCTTGATCCAATCTGCAGTATATGCTGAATCTCTTGGTATGTAATTCGTCTATTGTCTTGAATCAAATTTTTCACTACTAACACGTTTTCTTCTGTAACAGCCGTCAAAGGGCGACCACTTCTTTCTTCATCCGCCAAAGTTAGTCGACCGCGCTTAAATTCATTATACCAACGATATACGGTTGCCTTAGAAGGGCCTTCATCCACGAATGTTATTTAAAGTCTATCGTACGATACGTCCGGTTTCAGGCGAAATTTAAAATCGTAAAAAATCATAGCGCGAAAATGTTCTCGGCGCAAAACCATTTTTCAATGAAACACGGTAATTTTAATTAGCTCGCAAAATATGTGGAGGGAAGTTTTGAATTTAAAACGTACCTATTTTTACTCATATGCAAGTAATCATATTTTTAAATAAATTATAACTGGCCAGTCTCACATATATAAAAACTTTGTCTCGCAATACTTTCTGAGTAACCTGATATATTTGATATCTACTGAAGAATCTACTGGTTTACTTCGGTGTTGGGCTAATACCAACTTCACCACAAAATAATACGAAGTTGTATGTTTAATAATAATAATTGAATTCTTACATAGATCCATTCTCCATCGTAAGAATTTTTGAATGTCTTAGAATAGTATATGACTCCCTGTCCGTGCTTAGTACCACAGTGCCATCCACCAGTGTAAGAGCGTTGTTTGCGCGAGTCTACATACAATCCTTTGCCATGTCGAAGATTACTAACAAAATCGCCCTCGTACCACGTATCATCTTTCCATTGTATCAAACCCTTTCCATTCATTTCATTGTTTTTAAATTGACCCTAAAAATATAAATAAGTATTTAGGCATATTGATAGTCAGAATAGTACATTCTTTTGCCTAAAAAACGTTGAGTAGTTCAAGTATGTCTGATATAATTCAGTAAGCAATGTTTAAAGATAGTGTCATAAGAATAGTATTAATACCTAGTTTTGCTACTATCTAGTTATATAAACGTAAGTAGGTACTTTTATGATAATTAAGCCAGCGTTACCAAATAGACAGTTCCATCAGCCCATTGAAAACGGCCTTCGCCGTGCATGCATTTCTTTGAAATATTCCCTTCATAAACATTTCCATTTCGAAAACGTATAACCGCTTTTTCGTCCGGCAATGACCACCAAGTTTGTTGTATGGGGTCCACCTGGTTTATAATAACATAATTACAGTTTTACAAATCGTTGAGATTTTGGTTTGTTAAAATAAAATGCGATTTATGTCGTAAAAGTAACGTGGAACCATTTCTCGTATGAACAAATCCTGTCTATTGCAAATAATAAAAATTAGCAAAGATATTGCGAAATATACACTCATAAAATGCAGATGGACTGACAACCTTCCAATTTTTAAAGTCGCTTAAAAATATTTAAAATTGATAAATCAATCAGTCATTCATAAGGGAAAAAATTGTAAAAGTTGTCAGCGTGGATACCCCACTCTCATTCGTGTTATCGTCTGTGGCCAGGCAGCTTACAGGGCTTAGTTTGTATAATATGAAGAACATCATCATCATCATCTTCCTGCTCTTATCACATTATTTGGGTTCCGTGTAACATGATTTTATTTATATAATATTACATAAGATTTTGTAATGTATGTTTTTACTACCACCGCCTGCTTGACGTAACCAATACGTAATGATGGGCTATCTTAACACTATCAGAATACTCTGGCTAAGCAGGCCCAGTGTATTCTGATAGTGTAAGGGGACACCTACGATATAGAGGAAAAAAATATGGAGAAAAAAGAGGAATGTTAAGAGTGAGTAAATTGATAAAAAAAAAAGAATGAAGAATTTATGAGGAAAAGGGGGACACTACAGTTGCGAAGGAGAAACTAGTAAGAAACTCTAGTACTGTTATTATAAAGCACATTTTCCTTATTTTTTTTTAATTATTATAGCAGCCATTAACTATCCACTGTTGAATATAGGTTTCCCTCATAAGGAAAATTTTGCAAGTCGGTCACCGCAGCTAGACTTTGGTGATATTTTAAGAGGGAGGCTGCGGCGCATCCCTCAAACATGAAATTATTTTAGTCACCTCTTATGACATACATGGGAAAAGAAAGAGTGGCCCATTCTATGCTATGCTATGGCAATTAAATTAGTGATTACACGAAATCATAACACCATAGACATCCGGAATGGCAACAGATTTTGTATTAATAAATAAATAAATAAATAAAAAAATGTAGTGCGCTATAGGTACCACAGTATGGTCTGTGATTTTCACCACGGTATTTATGTTTAGTCGTAGTGACCACTTTCTGTCGAATGAGCCGTCAATTAATTTATCATTAGGATTTTTTATCTTGTTCCTTTTTATGGATTTTTGTCTAGCCGACATGACCATTCCATATTGGATTATCCGTAAATAAAAATATGTATTTAATTAGGTGCATATTATTAAAACAATAATATTACCTGTCCACCATCAAGCATTTCCAATTTAGATCTACTTTTTTTTGTCTTAGACGGTTTTACTAAAATAAAAAAAATGCAATTATAATTTAGAAACTAACTTAAAATAACTTTGTTCTAACTAGGTACATTATTTAAGAAACGGCTGTAAAAATACATATAACCGATAGATATTTTGCTTATATTTTCCATGTAGCAGTAATTTATTTTGGCTTAAAAGTGGTTAAGAGTGGTAAATAGGCAATATGAACGAGAGAAATTATAAGTAGTACGCCATAACTATGAATATATCTATGAGGCTTTAATTTAAACAAAAAAATAATCAGTGCGCAATTAGCTTACTTGCATTTGCATTAGTCACTTACCATCAGGTGAGCCGCATGCTCGTTTGCCCCCTGTGTTGTAAAAAAAAAAATTACAATTCTTTTTTACGCTGACTCGATGAAAACTAACCGTTGGGTTTTTTCTTTTTGCTAATGAATGTTAGTTCACTAACAGTTTTTCCAAATTCCAAGTTAGGTGTACTGTCTTCGGGTTTCTGCTGACTGATCACCTCCCATGACTGGACAATGCTATCCAACATAGATTCGAACATCATTGTTACCAGTTCTCGTTGTACAGAACCTTTGGGTCGGATTGAAAGTGAAACAGCAGATTCACATATAAGGTGGGCATTAGATTGTCCTCGCGCAGTGGATATAGTTTCATAATTAAACTTGTCCTCTCCAGCTTGAGATTTTTTTTTCTGTACGGTCAGAGAACTATCGCGTCGTGTCAAGGTTCTCTGCGAGTCAACATAAAACATTTTTGGGATACAAGCGAATCTTTAATTAGATAAATATTATATTAATAAAAAAAAAAAAAGAAAATAACGAAATAATTTATGAACTATACCAATCAAAAGTACAGATAATATAAATAAATTAAGTAGGTACTTTCCTTTGAATCGAAAGGTGCAGTACCTTATAATAAGTGATATTGATAATTCGCTCAATGACTACATCAATCTAGTCAATATATTGTCATATGTCAAATTTATCCATACTGTTTTAAAAATAGGTATGATAGGAAGATTTTCAATATATTCGGTTATTTTTATAATTGGATCTTATCTTTGCCAGTACTGCTCAGATTATTACTATTCTTTTAAGCTTTATTAAATTATTTATTGTATTTCTATCAGTTATTCAGTACTCATAATTGTACTTTGTTGTTCCGCTTAATTTGAGACTAAATGGTGCTGTGTATTATGTCCGAGAATACTTTTTTTAGCGAAGAAAGAGAATGCTATATTCTGTTCTTAATCTATGGTATTAAATTTTTTTATATATAAATATAATTTTGGCGAAGGGTTGGTGTTCTATTATGTTCTATATTCACTAACAAACAGGAAATGAGATAGGATATTAAAAAAAGAACAGCAAGGACTTTAGCATTAGTGACACTTTGAAGTTATTATATTATAAAAAAATAAAGGGAACTATGGATTACAGATCAAAGGATAGTCATAGGCATTTTAGTGTCATCTCTTAAAGTATTTACGAGTAGTATCTATCATAGACGTGTGACTTGCTATTATATTTCATCTTAAATAGGTAGTTGCTTAGGCATTTAGGGTTTATCTAATTACGAAACCAAATCTAATTCGGTCTAGACATGATAAACAGATATTTAAAACTAAACTACCAGAGGGAGACTGTACAAAAGTCGTTTGCTTGGACACCTCAGTCCCATTCGTATTTCTACCCGTGAAGCAGTTGTGTTTGCATGGCTGTGTTTCGTTTGAAGGGTGGGATATGGCAGTGAATTTACAGGGTACAGAGGAATAACGCCAGAGTTCTCAGGAATAGCAACGCATGGGAGGTAGCATGGGCAAAACAGTATACTCTGTTAGGTCCATGCTACTACTCATGTGTATAGGCGACGGCTACCACTTTTCATCAGGTGGGCTGTCAGCTTATTTGACATTCTAAGTTGCATAAAAAAACTAATTATATAAGTCGTAGGCACCACTGACATTTGAATAAAAAAGTATATAACGAACTGACGGGTTGGAATTTTCCCTATCTACGTATTTTATATTAAAGATACGCCTCGGCAATTATGTATATTTTAAATATGTGTATAGGTCCCTATCTTCTAGGTATATCACACAGAAACTAAATAACTACAATAAAACTAAATATAAAATAAAATAAAATTGTTCAATAAATAAACTAATTTAATACAATTTGAATTAAGTTTCATATTGATGTATTTTGATAAGGAATTTCACCTTGTTCTTTATTTTCCCTCTAGACCGATCGCGGTGACCACCTCTATCCCAATGAGTTTCCAGTGCTTCGTTAGAACGTGTCAATCCTTTGTTCAATATGGAATGACCTAAAAGTAAAAATTGTTTATACATATTTAATTATCAAATATGACATACTTAAAATCTAAGGACATACTAAAACAAATATTATATGAGGGTAGAAATTTGTAACGTAGTCTAGCTATGTAGATAATCCACTGCTAGCAATGTATTTTCCTTCACCTTTTTCAACCTCCGCGCGGTCTCTTCTAGAAACCATCGTGCTTTAATTTTGATGAAAGCGTCATGATGGTCTAACTGACCTGACTCCCTAATATCCCACTAACATACACCAACAGCACAGGGGGAGTTACCATTCCATTTTAATGTCGTGTGTATTTAGTTTTATAAATTGGGTGTATTTCAGTTTAATAGGATTTATTAGGATGAAATATAGTAGTGAAATGACTGGAGACATAAAACCTTAATCATTGGGAAAGGTAATGAATAAAAGGAATCATGAGTGTATAAAAAATATTTTTAGTCATTAATATTAACAATGATTATTAATATTATTATTAACTGCAGTTGCCAATTCGCCTGCCAAGCGTGGCAACTATTAGCAAAATTCCCCGAGGAAGAGGCTTATGTTCAGCAGTGGACAGTTAAAGGCTGATATGATGATGATGAATATTAACTAGGTAATTTACCAAATTGTAAAAATTTCCCAGGTGTCCAGGAGTTCCAGAAGGATCCGTCAGGATTGAACATAGCGTCTGAAGAAACTGAAAGAGGACCCCTGGACGTATCCTGCTGTTGTAAATGTTGCGTTTTCTTTACTTCTCCTCGTGAACAACGTAGAAGGTAAAGAAGCGAAAGAAACGGTAGTACCTAGCGATTAAAGAAAAATAGATGTGGCTTAGAGACATATAACAATAAGAACTATATGTAAGCTTGGGTAGCATGTTTTTAAAATAAATATCTAGAACAGTCTACCCTAGGTGTTTAGATAACTTTACCTTTTGATTTTACAAGAAATAATATATTTATATCTATAACCATAACCAGCGCTAGTGAATACAAAACTAATTATTTGTAAGTACAATATTTGTTATCATTTAAATCATCACGATTAATAGATAATTATATATATATATAAGTAGAGATAGGTATGCTTTTGTAGCATATTTTCTTGGTCAATAAAGTTAACTTTCAACCGACTTCAAAGGAAAGGAAAAGAGGTTCTCAATTCAGTTTTATTTTTTATGTATGTTACCTCATAACTCAAGTTATAAATTAAATTGGATTTTTGTTAATTTGTTATATGAAAGGGTATACTTACAGATTGTTTCTATAAATGTTAAAATGTTATAAAATCGGTTTAGTAATTTAGTTTTGGAATCAAAGTAACTAGATTTGCCACAATTGAAGTCGGTTTTCTTTTTGTGAAACACAATTTTAATTTATATTTTAGACTTTCGCGTTGCATTGTTTATGGTATATAAGAGATAGGAATGAAGAAAAACCTCTGCCTCGGAAGCGGAGGTATAACACCGCTACATCTGTCTACTTGAGAACAAGACCAGTGTAACTTAAAACATCGGGATTACCAGGTCTTACCCGTCTCTTATAAATCATAAATTGGCTATAAATAAAATATATAAATAAATTTACCTTATTAAATTTCATTACAGTGAATTATATTTAGGTCAAAAATCCCACACGTTCACTGTTAAACTGGTTTTACTTGTGTTTACGCGTGAATGAATAGAATATCGTGTTTATATCAACTACATACCTATAACAAAGAAATTTGGAACGGATGGGCATTTCACACGTTAGGACATAAGTACTGTATTATGTGTAATGAACATAGAAGGCGTAATTACATTTTCAGTGATCCAAATCGATGTGTTGTAATTGAATCATACAAATTTAATTCATCATTAGGTAAGTATTCGATAATTTTAATTGTTTTTTAAACAACTTTATAAAATCCGTAGAAATACTGATGCATACATACTATTTTAGCTGAATACGTATTATAGCATTGCTCATCTGAAAATATTGCTGCCTCAAATTATTTTAAAAGCCTTCCTTAGTAGGTACTTACTTATGTTAAATTTACCACTTAACGTTAAAGAGCATAAATTAGGGATACTGGTATACGATATTATAATTATTACTTTAAGGACTGAATCTCTCTGAAGGATTGAATCTTAAAGCAAACGTAAAATTTTTAAAATTGATTCATTTCTCGCAAATAATTGCATAAGTCTTTGCTAAAATAATAATCATTGTGCATCTTAAAAGAAGAGCCGTACTAAGCTTTGTCTCTTTTTGCAATATAATTACTAGGCAGTTAATTATTTCCGGCTTCGACAGTAATGTAGGTATATTAAAGCAAGCATGATAATAAAAATAACTGTCTATAACGTAATATTATTTATTTAAGAATAACAATGATGAGTTTTAACAGCACTTAAATTTATAAACGCCTATAATACAAATAAATAATACTTCAGTTCAAAATATTCAAGAATGACAGCAAGTTATGTCTAAGACTATATCTAATATCTTTGTATCATGTTTTATCAATACATTTTCTATTAATTCAATTTACTACTTAATAATATCTTTGTACGTATCCAGCATTCATCATTATCATCATATCAGCCGTTAACTACCCACTGTTGGCCAGCTTTAAATATTTTTACATAGGCATAAAGGTGTTCATGTATATCAGATGAATATATATAAATATATTTCTGGTGTTAAATGTAAATTTTTAATGTTTGAATTCGCTTAGATTGTTTATGTTACGCGATTACGTGATATCGTCATCAATTTTCAAAAGGTACTCCCATGTTGGCGTGTCCAATATTAAATTAAGTCATGATTAAATTAACCGTTTTTCTTTGTAAAGTTCAATTTTGCTTGTTGCAAATTTACCCACGATGCTAAATTCTAAATCAAATACTTCTTGTGTCTATGGAACGTCTTATCATCCATAGGTGTGTTTTAAAAAAGAGTTGTAAGAATATTAGTCAATATTAATAATGTATTATCTAACCCCCTTACTCATAAAAACTAAAACCTTTTACAAACCTATTTTTACTATTACACTGTTTTATCAATTTCTTTCAATTTGGGAACTATGCATATAAAAAAAAAAAAAACAAAACAGTTCAGTAGCTAAAATTGATTTACGAGAGGTTTCATGGTTTTATAAATAAAGGGGCAAGTGCAATACATAAAAGATTTAGGATAGTACCTGTGGCGTTCTATTTCTACGATTTCGTACTTACACTAGTTTTGGCGTTAAAATATTTTTCCTTATTTACGAGGAAAAACGTAATGACACAGAAGGTCAACCTGTCACCATCTCTCGAATCAATTTGGTTTGCTATTGGTGTTTTCTATTAATAATTTTTGGGTGTCAGCCAAATTCATACTTACGACTAGTCTATAAATCGTAGTAGTTAAATAGTATACCACTAAGTCCTGACATTCTCTAATTATATAACGTTACTATTGAAATACAGGCTGGCCCAAAAGTCCTTAGAAAAGTAAAATTTGAATTAAACGAAAACGGCGCGCGTGAGCGATGCACCAACTTCGGTTTCTGGAAATTTAGTCGCGATGGAGCGTTTCACCGGAGCGGACCGTGCGTTTTGTGTGCCCGAGTTTTATCAAAACAACAATTCGGCAACCGTTGCGAGGCGTAAATTTCGAGAACACAAAGGTTTACACAACTTTGATGACACCCCAGCTCTCCAAACGATTAAGAATTGGGTTGCTAAGTTCGAGGAGACTGGTTCGACGTTAGATAAACCGCGGTTGGGTGGCCCAAGGAACAAAACATCGACACAGTGGCACAATCTATTCGTGAAAATCCTACACAGTCAACTCGTAAGCGTTCCAGTGCATTAAACGTATCCAGGACATCGTTACAACGGATTTTGAGGAAAGATTTACTTATGCTTTAATGCCCGAACATGGTTTCAACAGGATGGAGCAACTTCCCACACCTCCAATACTGCTATGCCCGTTATCCGTCAACTTTTTCCAAACAAAGTTATCTCTAAGAGAGGAGACATTTCCTGGCCACCACGTAGGATCTGACTCCAATGGATTTTTTTGTGGGGCTACCTTAAGGCTAATTTGTACGACTCTAACCCGCGGTCAATTTATGACCTAAAAGAAAACATCCGCAGAGAAATGGCAAGCATTTCAGCAGTGACGTGCCGCGCAGTCATCGACAATTTCAGAAGGCGTTTGCAAGAGTGCCGTGACTGTAACGGATTACATTTGGACGACGTTATTTACAAAAAATAATTCCCGTTTTTTTAGCTATATTTACAAATAAAAATATTATTCATAGTGTAATTAGTTTTATTTTAATTAATTTTTTTCATTACTAAGGACTTATGGGCCACCCTGTATATCATGTCATTTTGGGGGCATTACTTGCTTAGATTTATAAGATGACTACTTAGATTATAAGTGATTGTATATTTAATTATAACATACAGATTTTAAAATAATTTAGGTCATTAATTCATCATTGTTTATTTACAGAAAATTTCACTAAACTTATATTTACCGTCAGTTCCGGTCAAGCAGTAATATATAATTTACACAAGCATGATATTTCACACAATACAGGTATTACAGTAACGAATTCCTTATAATATATAAACATTGCCTTAAAATTTAATCGTTATTATGCTCAATAATCTAAGGAACATTAAACATATTCCCAAATAAGTACTAAAACAACAACGATTATTTATTATCTGTTTAATAGTTGCAAATGACATTTTTTTTATGTGAATTTCAAATCTTATACAGAAAATAAATAAGTGATCAAATTACTATTTTAAAAATTATTTTATCTATAATCGTTGTCATATTTCTTTTGAGCAATAGTATTTAGACTTTCGTACATAACACAGAATCACTCTCAATTTAGATCAACATCATTGCGGCTTTGTTCATTAGTGTATTTAAAATTATTTTCAAGGGGGGAGAGGCGTGGCCTTTAAAAAAAGGGTATCAACCAATTCTGGAGTGGACACGGCCCACCCTGGTCCTCGTCTAAATACGCCTATGGTCTTACACGTAGCCTGTGTAACCTTTCTAAGCTACATGATATCTAGTCTCTATAATAAAAGTAGCGAACGAATTTATCACCAGATACATTTTTGTTATTGTATGCAGGAGAACGAACCAAACGCCACTAGATAAAGCTATCACGGTCCATCATATGCACACATAAGCAATAATGTATCTGTTGTTAAATTTGTATTCGATTTATCTAACGAGGCTGAATTGGAATCTAATTATGAAAATACTAGCATATATGCGTTCACGTGACCGGAATATATTCACTGACCGCAATAAAAAGTAGTTTGTATCCATCTCTATCGCATATAATATGTGTATACGAATTTTCATAGTGATTGGTTAAGACGTTTAGGTGCTATTATAATATTAATAAAGGTAATTAGTTTATCTTTTTAAAGACTTCAAAAATGAAAAAATTCTTAATTCAAATATATTTTTTTTTATTTCGTGTTTACGTTACGTGGTATCTTCGTCAATTCTGAACCGAGTTTCGAAGTTCTAGTATTCGGTTAAATAATCATAAGTACCTACACAAATATTTTACACATATGTGTACTACAGCCTTCTACTTATAAAAGTATATTAGATAAATATTATTTTCGATATTCTCTTTATTTTAAATTCAATTTTTTTAAACGGCACATCAATATAATACAATTATATAGCACTTCATTATACTCGTAAGTATGTAGTGCAAAATAAGAGAGATTTTTTTTTATTTTTACCATTTGGAATGGCAAACAGGCAAATAGTCCAACTATTAAAAAGTTACCTATAGATATGAACAGCACCATAGAAATCACTGAATAGATTATGATGCCTTTAGTACGCTTGTAAGTTGCCAGTCCTGTTGTTTTTAATAAGTTGCTCTACGCCGATTGTATACAGACTTTAACACTAAAGTAATACTACAAATATATGTTGTTGAACTCAAAACAATTTTAAATAACATACAAGGTAAAATTTAAATCGTTAGCGGTACATAAAACTAAAAATCTATCAATGTTATTATAGAATAAATTAGGGCAGAAATATTGTGAATTTAAAAATTGAATTAGGACAAATAATTTTTAGTCCCCCATACTAACTATGCATCGCTGGGAATTAGTGGATGCAGGTGATTTGTCATCATTCCTTATGACAGTCTTTGACAGAGGCCTATGTTCAGCAGTGAACAGATAATAGCTGATATAATGATGATAATATTAACTCTAAAGCTAAAATCGTCTTGTTGGTTGTGGGAGGCTCAAAATTATTTTGTTCGTCGTTTTACGGCCATATTTCTTAGGCGAAAATACTCGTTTGCTTCGCTCTTTTACTGGCTGACCACTCCATCCAAAGTATGCTAACGATTTTGATTTCACCCTGTAGTCACAATTCATGACCCCTAAACAAGTGACAGACGAATCTATTAATAACATCATTATGCTTAGCGAGTCCATAACATAGCATGAGATGACTGTGACCAGTGCCTTGTCCTTTCTCAAGTAAGCCCTAACCGAAACAATTTTACCGATAGATTCGATTGCCACGTGTTTGGGAAACAAGATAGATATCATTCGAGTCAATTTTAAGCGACTATAAAAACAAATTCAAATATTTATTTTTACCTGTTATAGTTAACATTAATTAATTCATTTTTGCTATAGATATTTTAGAAATTTATAGAGCGTAGGCACAGTCACTATAAACTATATACATATAACAATAGTGAATCTAATACTAAAATTTAACACTTTTCTTACAATATTATTTTGTGACACAAAATAAATTCAATATTTGTAATACAAAGTCACATGGGGGCTACGGTGGTACATTATTTAATGTAATTTTAATTGGTTACTTAATAATTAGTTGGGGCATTGGCATACATAAAACACTATTTAACTATTATATTAATTGTAATTAGTATTTAAAAATTAAGTTACTACAACAACAAATTTTTAAAATATTTTTCAAAACATATTTTTACGATTTGCAAATCAAAACCGATCTATAATGTGTATCTACTAATTAACCAAAAGCAATATCGATTATCTAGTATCGAAATCGTTAGTCGTCAAACTCATCCTAAACATAAGATACAATCTTACCGATAATAAAAACATTTTTATTGACTAATTTTTTATAAATAATTTTAATTAAATAAAAGAATGTATAAGTTATACATGGTACATTAAAAAAACTTACGAACAATAGTAGATTTTATATTTGAATTATACTGCAGAAATAACTTAAAACGAATAAAAATATATGTGACTAGATGACATTACTTTTGATAATATAAGCTCAAGCCCAATTTCCTATGCATTATTATTAAAATCCGCGTGGCAAGTTTATCACCAAAAAGTACCTACTACTATTAAAATAACGATAACAATATGAACCAAAATAAATCGATGAGGCGATAAACACATGGTAAAATAAAAACATTAGCATCTTTTTAAGGGAGTGTTCTGCTAATGAATATAAATGATGATTTTCACCAAAGAAACACAGGTTGACAAACGACATAAATATAACTATGCCACCCATATTAACACAAGGATCAAAATTTTAATGACTGTTAAATTTCTTTTGTTTCCATTTTTCTTTTCAAAATAATTAAGTAACTGAAAATTTAACAAAAATATATTTTTTTACCTCTGCTATAAATTTTGACACTTCAATAATGCATAATAACTCATATTTACGATATGTGTATTAGAATACTCGTACGATTATTATTGGATCCGTGTAGCTTAACATTAGAATAAGTTATCATATTTAATAATAAATAATTGTGACTCACGTCACATAATTCGCAATGGCTTTCTTTGGTTGTAAAATTTTTAATACCATTTACCAAATATAAATGTTCACAATTTTAAATGAAATTATAATTTTGCTACCACATTTATATAATAAGAGTTAGGGTGACACTAACCGTAAAAATGGTACTACACATTATTTACTATAGTAGGTACTTACAACCAAGGACTAGACGTCTCGTCAATGCTTTTACATCTCGACGATTTCATAAGCATAACAATACTTAGTGACAGCCAAAAGTTACGAGCCCTAAACAATTATAGATATGTATTTAAATAATTTTAAGATTATTTCGTTGTCACATGCAGTGCAAATGATATTCGTAAAATTATTTATATAAAAAAAAGATGCAGCAAAATACCTATAATACAATCAGAAACTTACCTGCACTATTATAGTTAAGTAATAAAGAAACATAATTTTACATCCAGGCACTTGCTCTGAAATTGTCGACAATGCTCGAACGCCGTCTATGACAGACTCGTATGCATGGCTCCAAAGCCAGTCTGCGCCAGGGTCACGAATCGTGTAGCAATCGCTGATAATGAGGAAACACTTCGTAAGGGGGAACATGCAATCCAAACTCCAAAGCCACGAGAACAGCAAATTCACATTTCATGAGATCCTTTCGATTCACTCTAAACGTTGTTTCTATACGCTGAAATGAAAACAAAGTTGCAATTTAGTTGCAGTTTATTATGTAATTATGTAGCTAAAAAATCATCACTTTTAAAAATGAACTTTTTGAAAATGGGATCTGTAAACGTTTTAGAAAACCTAAAAAATTTAATCTGAAAAGGTAAAATGTAAATATGCAATCTTTATTATCAATCTTTACATAATTCTTTGTTTGCAACGTTTCGGTTAATTTTGCCTTCTTTATGTAGATATGGTCTCTACAGATTTGGCAATATTGAAGTATATAATTATAGAAAAAAATAATAACAACAATCTTATCATCATCATTTCAGCCATTATCCGTCCACTGCTGGACATAGGCCTTCACCATAGACTGCCATAAGGAACAGTCCTGAGCCACCTGCATGCACTGACTCCCTGCAATGCATATGAGGTCGTCACTCCATCAAGTGGGGGGGTCATCCTACACTGCGTTTGCTCGTGAAGTCGCCACTCAAGAACCATTCTTCCCCGATCGGTTGTCGATTTTTCGAGCTATGTGACCATCCCATTGCCACTTCAGCTTGTTTATCCTTTAAGCTATGTAGGTAACTTTGGTTCTTTTGCGGATATCCTCGTTTCGGATTCTATCACGTAAAGAGACACCGAGCATAGTCCTCTCCATAGCCCGCTGAGTAATTTGAAGCTTTTGCATACAGGCAATCGTGTAGGATGTTTCGGTCCCATAAGTCATCACTGGCATCACGCAACTGGTTATCAACAATCTTATACTTTGATAGAAATGTAGTATGAATGACACATACCTCAATAAGTGCTTTTAACATTTCTCCTTTAACATCGTTAAGTTTAGCGGAAAGTAACAAACAAGCTCCAGCGCATAGTTTTCTATTGTCTTTATTAATTAGATTAGCCAAAATTAGTTTTTCAAAATACACGTACGCTTGAGCTACAGATAGTAAATCAATGCCACCACTGTCATGTTTGGCTATCTTACGCATTTCCTTTTTAATACTGCAAAACAAAAAGCAATTTTATAAATAATAAAAATATTTTATAGTGTAAAGGTAGGGGCATATAATATAATTATTCATTATACAAAAAAGTTTACCTTCGCAATTTGCTAAGAGTTAATTTGATGTGTGGGAATTTCTCCCTAAATTTATCATTTAATTCCTTTTTCAGGTCTTGGGGCCGTACGTAGTCTATAATAGATGTCATATACGATGTAAATGTAAGCAGGGTACGATGCTTGCCCGCGATCAATTCTGGATCGTCTAGTACATTTGGACAGTATTGTACCTGTAAAGTAGGTAAAGTTATATATATACTAATATATTAATTATAAACATTATAGTATTTGCTGATGATATTGTACATAGCGCCATCCGTGGCTTAACCCATGTAGATTAGTATAAAAATAAGGTAAGCGTAATTCAGTAACATACAGCCGAAGATCTTTACAAACTTCACACATTTATAATATCAGAAAAATAAATGAATATTTATTTACATTTCCCTGATTGAAGAATACCAAACTAAAGACATAATATAAATAATACTTACATATTTTTGCGCCAATAGGGATGCTTCGTCCCAATCGAATGTCTTCATTTCGATAGAAGAGTGAGGTGGCGATGTTGCTACGTTGGTTCTTTGTGATGATTCATATGAGAAGCACCTACAATATCCGATAGTGTAATGACGTCTCAAGACATGAAGCCGTATATATAACTCATTCATGCAAGTAATTGGTTAGGTACATGTGTAAATATCTAAGTAGATAAATAAGTATTTACAATATAACATGCAGCCATTGTCAGAATTATTATTTTATATTAGTAAGTATATATGATATTAACTACCTACATATATATTAATATAAAACACTCATAAAATACAAACAATTTTGTTAGAGTTAAATACTTTAGACTCAAGAGTTAAGCAGATATTAGATATGTACTCATGCAGTAAACAATATAAATCCAGATAGGTACCACAGGTACATTTTTTTGGATAATAAAAATTAGTAAATTTGATTTTTACAAATATTTGGTTAAAAATCGATAAAAGAACAATACATTAGCGATGGGTAACATGCTCGGAGCATTTTATTTATTGTATGTATTTCACTGAAGCAATGTGAATTACTGATATTTATTAATTGATATTTTAACGATGTACGATAATTATAAGTATATAGCTATGTATACTCCCTAATTAAAAGTATGTGTGTAATGAATATTTGTAATTACTTTTGCTTCACGTGACAAATTATTTTAATATCGTTACAAAAATACGTAAATAAGTCACCATATGAGCCATCAGTAATAATACCATAGCAAGTAATGAAAGTTTTAATTTGTGCTAGTACTATAGAAAAAACTATTTCCTGTGACGCCCAACTAGAGCAGAAAAATGTCTTCGTCTGGCAGCTTTGGCATTTGCTTACTATTTGAGCGAGTGTGCAATCTTAGAATCAAAATGTATATAATAGAGGCGCATTTAAAAAAAACTGTAGATATAGCCTACTTAATAACGTAAATCATGCAATGTAAAGCCTATAAAAATGCGCATCTACTACAATTTATTAATACCAATTCACTTATGTATTACTTATTTGCTAAGGGTTAGAATAGCATTAACCAAATATAATTTACTTATTGCATAGCATAATGTGTTTAGGTTTACCATTTTTTATCCTTGTGTCTCGTCAATAACTTAGTCCTGAAATGTAAATTGGTTAGTAATGATATGATGGTGACAAATTATAAGTGGCATTCTTAATGCAAAACAATGTAAGGTCTTTTATTCAAATTAATGATATGTAGGTAGTTCGAATAAAAATGCTAGTTGTAGAAACGGTGTTAAATGTATGTTTACTGGTGAGACTTGTAATTATTATTAACCCTAATCGCTATCTGTTAACTGCTAATAGGTGATAAGTAACTAAAATCAATGCTCAATGTTTAAAATCATTTAGTATATATTATATTTATGTAGGTAATATAAGAGCATAATCTTTCTTTCTTCTTTCCTACACACAGACTAGACGTATTTGGAATCGCTACTCTGTCTTGTGATCGTACTACACTGCCTTTGCTTATACATTTTCACTATTCGAGAAATTGTCTTCTTCATTGCCTCGATCAATATGGCGATCTTATTGCAGCTTCAGATTAGTTATTCACTAGCCCTACTGCGGATATTCACATTTCGGAATGTATCACGCAGTAAAACTCGAATAATTTTCTATAGTTCACTGACTGACAGTGTATGACCGTATTTTGTTTCCATTAGTTATCTTTTGCAACATGTATTGGTTAGTCTTCTTTCAATTTTAAGGTGTGTACAACGTGAAAATGGGACGAAATTTCCCAAATACTACCCAACCGAATTGGATTCATTAATGGCCACTAGATTGAAATAGGAGGCAGTCTGACAAGCTGTCTCGTAATTGTAGTGTTCTTCCATAATTCATATAGGTGCGACGAAGGTGACTAATGTATTTGCCATTGATCTTTATTTAATATAATTTCCAGCCCAGGGTTTTGAAAACATACACTTTTGTGCATTAAACTTGGCATCATATTTTAGTACTGTACTGACAGACATCGTAGCCTCACTGCACATACACTTCAATAGCGCGATATAGCGATAGTGAATCTGGCGCCACTGGAAGGACCGTAGCAACGCCTACATCTCTACTGAAAGTTCTCAAATTCAAGACAAGCCACTATAGCAAATATTACTCCACTGTATTCTATATAATCTACCGTAGTGTATACGTATGATATGTACGTTACAATCGTCAAATCAGTCGATATCATAAAATGATTGGTTAGTTTCGAAAATAGTTTACAGACACTGTTCAGATGATCAAGATCAGGAACATCGACTTCTGCTCAATGGCTCTGAAGAAACACTGCGATGAATGATAAAATAAAATGGCTTGTGAAGGACTATAAGTGTGAGTTTTTGATCGGCTCTCAGAAGCTTTCTTGTGATTTTATCTTTCTCTAATACTTTGCCATTTTAAAGTTGTTTGTGAGCCATTTTAATCTCATGCAAATTAACATTAGTTCGCATAGTGCCAGTAAACTTTAACTCTTTGGCCGTTGTTTACATATGGTTAATGATGAATTTGCGGTTGCCGGTATTGGTCTTCAACATTGTTAGTTAGTTTCGCTCAATAGATAATGATAGTGAGATCGCTGGCAAATACTCTGGAGCCTTGATTGCGCTCTACTGTCTGTTAAAATGCTATATGTTTCAGAAATTGGAGGATATTTGGATATCTGCCTATTATATTGCCTATACTAACAAAGTGTAAAATAGGTAATGCTGTACCTACCCTTATCTACTAGATTAAAGATTAAGAAGATTTTTAGGACTATTTGTATCCAGTGGGTTCAGCTCTGGCCGCATCATAAAGTTAAATAGTCTTCTTTAAGGCATAATATAGCAAAAATTATTCAAATCCGACTGACAGGTCGAACGCATTAGTGCGTTCAAATAAACAATGTTATTATACTAGTATAGATTACAACCTATTTATCAGAAACTTAATTTACATTTATAAACCACAATAATTGATACTAGGAACATAATTTTTGAGCAGATGCACAAATTTTCTAAAGAAATATCAAATCCTATATTGGCAGACCCCAAATTTTTAACAACTATAAAATTGATCAATGCTTTCAATAGAAACAAATATTAGCATAATTAGAAACAGACTTATGTAAGCATATCATGATTCCAAAGTTTTAAATTTTACATACAATAATATAATAAATAAACATCATAAAGTATCTAAAAGATATATAAAATTGTGTGTTGTTGAAAATTCAAAAGTAAAGGTACATAACAAACGGACAGAAATGACAACAAAGAAAAAGTAAACATGCAGAATGTTGTTGTATGTAAAATAATATAAAAAAAATTACTTATCAATTAATATTCACCTAGCTATTACATGTGGATGACGATTCAAGATTTTCCAATTGGCTTTGTCATTGAAATCCCCTTCATACATTTTTCTATATTGTTCTCTTGTATAAATTCTAGAGGGCACCAATAATTTGGAATAGGATATATCTTGACCATTTTCTTCTTTCTCCAATCCAAGAAGATCGAATGGATCAACACCATTGTCCGTAATTGATGAGAGAGGTCTTGGTCCAGAAGTATTTCGTCTACGAACACCATCTTTACGGATGTCTGAACTAAAATATGTATTAATTGCTATATTAATGGGATTTTTTATGAAATAAAACACATAGGTAAACTATACTTCCAAACAAATATAGATTTTAAGGCAGAAATTTAAAACCCACATACCGTGCACTTCGAATTGTTTTTGAATATGGTATAGTACTAAATACAACACAGGGAACTCCTTGAGAGGGAGCAAAAACAAGCCTTTCATCTCTAAATGATATTCCTTTAGTGGGATGTATAAGTCTAACTTCCTTTGTTAATGCACGAGTTTCAGGTATACAAGTGGAACTTGTGCGAAAACGACCTGCAAAAAATATGTTGGCTTTTATTTGATAGAGAGGCAAAGCAACCACAAAGTCGACTGTTAAAACATCATACAAAATTTTATAGCTAAAATAATTACTAAAGCAAAGCAAAAGTAAAGATTAAAAAAAGACAGTGAAGATAGAGCTACTAATATGTAGGTATTAATTCAGTAACAAATTAATATGTTCTGAAAATCAATAAAGTGCCCAATATGTCCAAAGGTTTTCAATTCACCTATAATCTTTTGTACTTTTGGATACCTTAATACAGTGTTTCCCCACGTTTTACGTGCCATGCCCCACTTGAACATTTCTAAAATTTTTATGCCCCCAATACATAATTTTTTCCAACAAAGTTTAATTGACGAATCTTATTGCCCAGTTAATATTTTGTACGTACGTGAAACGAAATTACACCTAATAAATATTTACAGCATTTTTTTTAATTTACTTTTTTTTGTTAAATTTGGCATCGATATCATAGCATTGCGTTTAAATGGCCCGGAGCAAGAGGGTTAAAATCGCTTTGAGTCCATTTTTTAATTGCCCCATTTAGCTATCAAATTGCCCCCCTGTGGGGCGTGGGCTCCACGTTGGGAAACACAGCCTTAATACACAAAAAATCCAAATCATTGATCAAGATGTTTATGCACATAGATCTCCAAAATGGCTCAACAGAATTCAATGAAATTCTGTATTATTTGCTTCAACTTGAAAGATAGAATAGTTTTATTCTAATAAGAAAAAACAGTTAATGCTTCCAACAACATTGTTATACAGGCTATCATCATCTACAGGTGATTAGCTGGTTATATAATATATTCACCAATTCTAAAGAAATTTTAATATTTCTTTTTGCAATAGTTATGATTAATTTCATTGTCTTGTTAAAGTTTCATGTCCGAAACTAAGTCTTCATATATGTAATATTAAACAATTAAACAATATATTTGATATTACAAGGTTCTCCAAAATCTTTACACATTGTAAAAATATCCACATTTTATTAGGCAAAACTCCTCAGAATTGACAATGCATTAAAGATATGGATAAATCAGTATACTCTGTTATGTTCACGGTATTGTTCATATCTATAGGTAATGGTTAAGACTTTCCATCAGGTGGACTGTCAGCTTGTTCCCTATTCTAAGTTGTATAAAAAAAACTACCTAAGATTATTATTTACATTTAGATTGTCAAACTTGACTTCAAGGAACATCCTCAAGGTATATACCAAGATTAAAGGCAGTTTACACCCTTCTCCACCCCAAATACTATATGAATGCTAAATGTAATAAAAATTGGTTTAGATGTAAAGAAGCCAAACAAACAAACTTTTTCATATTTATAATATCAGTAAGGATTTTAAAATGAAATGGTTTAAAAGACAATCTTATATAGGTTGGTGTATCATTACCAAAGTTTAAGCTCTCTGAGCTACTCTTCTCATCTGTGTTGATACCACCAACAGATACAATATGATTCTTTTTTATGCGAGATGAATGTCTTTCCTTAAATGAATCCATATTTCCTGAAGAACATCTGTAGGAGTTGTAAATAGCAATTAATACTTAATTCTAAGACAGTAAAATTTTGATAGCATCATCATCATCATTAGCTATTATCTGTCCATGGCTAAACATAGGCCTCCACCATAGATTGCCTTAACAAACGGTCCCAAACCATCTAGATGGAGATTGTCTTAAACTACATATGCCTGTACAGAGTTGCTACTCAAGAACCTTTCTACCAGTGACCAGTTTACTGCCACTTCATTTTGCTTATCCCTCAGACTATGTCAAAGACTTTAGTTCCTTTGCAGATATCCTAATTTTGGATTCTATTATGCAAAGAAAATCCGAGCATAGCTCTCTCCGTAGTTTGAAGAGTAATGGAAAACAATGTTACTACATTTAATACTCAAATTTAAAAGAAAGAATATTTAATGTAATATTTTCTATCCAGATGAAATAACACATTTGTGGGTAGATATAATTAAAATAGCATTTCGAATTACCTTTCTCTGAATGATTGTGTTACAACTCCCTTAACTGGAGTAATTGTAGCATGTTCAGAGTCAGAACTAACAGAATGATTATCAGCACCGAAACGAATGGGGCTCGATTGAGGAACTTTGTTTTTATTGCGGATACCATCACGTAAAGAAACATCTTTATCAGTGTATGTATCAACAGGTTTATAAGGCGAGTCTGGTTTATCATTATTAGATGATTTATCTATTACTTTAGTTATTTCTGGATCTTTGAAGCTACCATCTAGCGAAATATTTGATAAAAAAGTAACTGCAGCTAGTCTTCTTCGTGCTTTTTCATATTTATTACGGTTGTTAGACATGATGAACGAGAAAATATTATTTGATATTGTAAAGTATAGACAATGTGTATTAATTATCTTAACGAATGAAAATAACGACAAATCACGTCAACAATAAATATATTATATTTATATAGATAATTAAAAACAAACACGATAATACACTATCACTATTATAACACTCGAATAATGTCAACACTGTCAATGTAAGGTAGCCTGACATCCCATGTCAAGAAAAAGTTAGCCTGACAAATATGTCAACTGGGCACACCACAGATATTTATAAATTGTCTTGCTTATTTCCTATTATTGTATAATGCAAATAAAGTATACTCATTCATTCATTCATTAGAGAGACAATGGGTGTTTTTAAACTTTACACTCTCATACTCAGTCCTAAGAACAATGAATTACATAAAAGGAATAATAAAATTGTTAATTCATAGCAGGTTAGTGTAAAGAAAATGTTATACGGCCGTATAACCCTACCAAATTCATAACCTGCTTGCATACATTCTTCATAAACTATGTCAAATATTTAATATAGTATCTAGTAATGTAAAATTTGTCATTGACAAATAATTGATTTATCAAACATTTTCTATACACTAGCCTGCTATGAATTGAGAAAAATAACAACTGATGGTGTATCTTTCGTCCTCTTTTTACTAATTATATTTGCTTCAAAAGAAAGGAGGCAGCCATATGATTTACAGTTTTTATTTTATCATTCCTTCTTTGTAGTTACTTGTTTTTAGGCTCAGTCTGCTACATTATTATTATTGCTGTGATTTATACTGCACGAAGATCATTGACTCTTCAGTTTATCCTATATTCTCCAAAATCGAATCCAAACTTTATATCATACATTTTTTGATTGTGGCTTTTATTTTAAAGAGAATTTTCCTCATTGTTATATTTCAAAAAATAAAAAAAGTTCATCATGCTCCGTTACATTTATGCCTGTTTTATTATATTTTTCCGTAACTAATGGAAAATTATAAAAGAAGATATCTATGGAGACGTAATTTTTACTGTGGTAGAGCCACGCTGTAATCCTATATGATATTGCAGCATAAATAGGCCGGCTCTACTGGGGAAGTACCACACCTTCAAAGAATACCGACGCTAAGTGGCCACATTTTTAGCACGACCACATTCCGTATAGTGAGTGAGGAAGTCCGAAGCCCATCCTCGAGGCGACTCGAATTATTGATAATCAGCGCCTTACTGTCCGACTCGACCCACTGAAACTGCGCAGAGATGTTGAATCTCTGTGCATCTTCTATCGAATTTATCATGGGAAGTGCTCTTAGGAATTGTTCGGATACCTGCTGCTAATTTTCACCACCGTACAACCCGCCAGAAACTAAAGTTTCATCCCAACCATCTGGACGAGTGGCAGTCTTCACCGTGCCTATTTTAAGGTACTTTCTTTCATGCACAACCAGTCTTTGGAATCAACTTCCAGCAGCAGTATTTCCAAACCAAGATACAAATTTTAAGCATTTTATAATGTAACCTTATTATCATGTATTTTAAGTAGAAATAAATGTATGTTTTGTTGGTAATAAATAAATAAATATCATAATCTTAAAAAAAAAAAGCATATTCCTTTTTAAAAGACTGACAGCACTTTTGCAAAGCTGTTGGTATTGTGGGTGGTTATGAGCAGCGGTAGTCACTTACCATCAGGTAAGCCGCATGCTTGTTTGTCCTCTATAAATCTAAACAAATTATGACAAATCTTCTTTGTCAGAATATGAAAATGCATTTTCTACTGAAAGTCAGGCTATATGGCTTAGATCCTTTGCCTTTTCCATTGTTTAATAAATTAAAACTACTATGCTACTACTACATTACTACACTGTCACTGACAGTTTTTGACTGCTGTCAATTTGATTGTTTTATTGTCAAAAGTTTAGGTTTATGAATTTGTGAATGTTTAGGTTTTCCTTCAATACTTTTGAGACTTATATTTTATCACCAATAGACTCTTAGTTTATATTAACAATGGAACCAAATGTTCCTAGTTCTTCAGCATCTTCTAGAGCGACAAGATTTATGATGGAAGGTGTAGGAGCTCGCGTAATTCGAGGTCCAGATTGGAAGTGGGGCAAACAGGTACACCGTTGAGTGTTTATCTTCTCAGATATGAATTAAATCTTTTTATTAGATATCTGTTGGTCATAGAGTATATACTTGTTTACCTATATTTAAAAATGATTTTTTTATTTTGAACTTATAGGATGGTGGTGAAGGGCATGTAGGAACAGTAAGAAACTTTGAATCTCCTGAAGAAGTTGTCGTAGTGTGGGACAATGGGACTGCAGCGAATTATAGATGTTCCGGAGCATATGATTTACGGATTCTAGATAGTGCACCAACTGGAGTTAAACATGAAGGAACTATGTGTGATACCTGCCGCCAGCAACCAATTTTTGGTAAGAAGTATTACATGTTGCCACTTATTATAAAATGTAAGCCAAGAAGTGTTTAGAAGTATTGGTTATCTCTGGTTAAAGTTTATCAAAAAATTCTAAAAGGCTTATAAATGTATGAAGTAAAAATAGTTAGTTCTGAATAAGGAAGAGTAAGATAGAACTTTTCTGTGTATAGATAGTAGATTCCAAACTGAAATAATGTCATTATGATGAAATGTTTAGCAAGTCTTTATAATTCTTGTATAAGAAATTTTTATTAATTTAGTGAATAAATGTGTTTATAGACAGTACTTTGTTCAATTATCTACTTTATATATTTCTGTATAAATTATATTTCTTTTCTTTATATTTATTTTTGAGAACTGAATGGCGAACTCCTGCATTCTAGTAATAGTTCAATGGTATATTAATCTACATGTATTACATATAATATACTGATGATTAAAATGAAGAAGGCAAAAAAGGTTTATTAGAATCTTTCATGTCATGTTCATTTTTGCTTGCCTGATGATAGACATATTTAACTTATACAATGTGTAAATAATGTTAAATTGTAAATTTTATAAATTTCTAGGTATTCGTTGGAAATGTGCAGAATGTAGCAACTATGATCTTTGTTCTGTTTGCTACCATGGTGACAAACATCATTTAAGACATAGATTTTACCGAATTAGTGCACCTGGTGCTCAGCGCTGCCTTGTAGAACCTAGAAGAAAAAGTAAAAAACAGGCTGTAAGAGGCATTTTTCCTGGTGCAAGAGTTGTTAGAGGGGTTTGTATTTTGTTATTTGTTTAATATGGTTTAATTCATTTTTGTTAATAGTAGTAGAATTAAATATTGCCGAATCTATTTTGTGAGAGACTAATGCTTGTAAGTTATAAGCATTTACATTAATATAAATCTATGTCAACATTTTCAATTTATTTTGTTTTATTCAACAAAAAAAAAATGTTTTTTTGTTAACTACAATGTTTAGTATAAAAGATGAATTTAATTGTATATAGAATTATCTCCATTTATACTTATAAAATAATACTGTGGGCAATATATAATTTTGCAGGTGGATTGGCAATGGGAAGATCAAGATGGTGGAAATGGTAGAAGAGGAAAAGTTAATGAAATACAAGATTGGTCAGCTGCTAGTCCTAGATCAGCCGCCTATGTTGTATGGGACAATGGTACCAAAAATCTATATAGAGTTGGTTTTGAGGGAATGGCTGATTTAAAGGTAAAAAATATATAAAGTAAAAGTAGCCTATATTCATTATTATTAATTAAAACTAAATTATAAAATGATATCAAATTAATGATATCTTAGATTGTAATAATCTTAAATTATAAGCTAGCTATAACAATAAAATGTTTGATGAAGGCATTTATAAATCATAAGAAATAGTAAAAAATAATTGCTGCTTTATTTAACTTTTCTGGAAAGTTAAATGCAGTAATAAATTGAATGTATATTTGTTTGTCTTTATGTATTATCACATGTAGGACAAGGATCTATATTAATCATATTAATATATATTTAATGCATTATACAGGTTGTGAATGATGTAAAAGGCCAAAATGTATACAAAGAACATTTGCCATTATTGGGAGAATTAGGTCCAGGTCGTACTGGACCTCATGGTTTGCAAGTTGGTGACCAGGTAATATATAAATATAGTATGCATTATACATAGCTTTATCTGTATGTATATGCTGAAATATTAGACTAGCAAAAAATCTCAAATTCACTCTCCTTTTTACATCTAACAGTATTTTGTAAAAGTTTTTGAACCACACCACTTAAGAACTTTTCTTCTTTATCGGTTTTTGGCTCTTATAATTACTAAATATTTCTTAATCCATTTTATGTTACCTTGTTATAAAGAATTTATGAATAAAATTTCATCCTTCTAAACTATCGGTAAACAGTTGGACATTTATTGTTTTATAAAGTTGATTGTGATTGTTTTATATATTTTATTTTACTAAAGTATACACCTTTCGTGTCATCAACATTATGTTTCTGTAATGAAGTTATTACATGTTTTAAAAAGGGGTATTATTATATATATATATAATATGATATGATATATGTGGGGTACTACATAATACTAACTTTACATTTATATAATATATTCTTTAGCAATATAAAGGTTGTAGGCCTCTTAGTAATAAATAGAAATGAAGCACAAGTTCTCATAGTTCATTTAATTTAGATATCTTACTATTAAATCATATATTTACTTATTTTACTTTGTATTTGATATATAACAAATAATATAACATAAATATCGAACTTCTGTTAATCCATTGACACTTATTTAAATATAGCTTCTTTAGGACTTCCATCAACAATAATTATGATATATTTTATACAATGACCACATGGTTCATTATGCTTGTTCACTCTTGATACGTCAAGGAGCTTCACTCTGTTCAATGGTTGGACAAGAAGTGTCTCCCCACCCAAATAACAATCTTTTATATCTACAGGGCCGATTTCGAGTGAACAAGTCAGTGAGATCATGTGTTCTTACAATTCCATTATTTTTTATTCAAGTATCATGACAATAAATAATTATAAAAGTAATTAAAATATAAATTAATGTTCTATATACATTACAATAATAATTTATTATTAAGTTTGGTATAATAACAATTTTAATGTTTTATTATATTTAAAGTAATTAGTCTGATTTTTATTAATAAATGTAGGTATACATTTTAACACAAGATGTTTAAGAAAATTAATATAATTTTAAATAAATATCTAACACATGCATAACTTTGCTACGTGTCAAATATTAGTACTGGAACTTTCAATGGCGTCGGGGCTCTGAGCATATATATCATAAATTAATTGTCATACGATAATAATGTTTTATTTTATAAGTAAATATATCTAGATTAATTCCTTGAAAGTTCACAGCAATAACCGTTTTTCAGAAAATTAAGAACAAATGAAAAATATTATCCTAAATTATGATCAATATTGGTATTATTTTTCTTCTAATTCTTTTAATTTCTTATTCATTTCCTGAGTTGGTAACATAGTAATTGTAACAAAATTGATAATGGGATTTCTTGTTTTTATAAAAATAGATGTTATATCTCTTATGCATAAACAGTGTATTGGATTACTATTAACATTTTAATTGTTTATTTTCAGGTAAATGTAGACCTAGATTTGGAAATCGTACAGTCATTACAGCATGGACATGGTGGATGGACAGATGGAATGTTCGAGTGTCTTGGCTCCACTGGTACTGTCGTGGGTATTGATGAGGACCATGATATTGTTGTTACATATACTAGTGGTAATAGATGGACTTTCAATCCAGCTGTGTTAACCAAGGTAATTTTTCATTCAAATAATAAAGTTGATAATTTTACAGTTTTTTGCTATACATATAATAAAATTTTACTTTGAATTTGTCTGTTTGCTTGCATAATACAAAACTACTGCATGGATTTTGATAAAATTTAGTAGGATGATTATTTTATTTTTGGGTCGACTTCTTTCTTTCTTTTCTTTGAAGATTTCTTTTTTACTGTTGCAAAATATCTGATTTGTTGTATTTCTAGACAAATATAATTTAGATCTCGTAGAGTTTACGGTGAATAAATATTTAATTTAAATATTATTCACTAATAAGAGGTGGTACAAAAGGTTTGAGTATTTATTTTCTGGGTAAACACTGTCTTGGATTGTATCGCTTACTTACACGTAAGGTAATTTTGAAATATATATCGCCAATGAACGCGGGATACTTTAAATTGATGGCAGTTGTAAGATGAGATTTATAATATGTTGTCATCCATATGTAATATGTTATCCATACTAAGTTTAATTATTTCTATAAACAAATTTATGAGTCTTAAGCAACAAAAATAGGTAGATAATCATCTCTAATAAGTACTATAATAAGATCTCTAATAAGTAACTTGGAGACTTTTATTTATTGTTGCCTTTATGGAGTTTGCAGCAATCAATTTCTTCACATTTTGTCTATAATTTGGTTAGGTATGCGGCGGTAATTTGAGTACATCAGCGTCAGCGGGCAGTGCCCCTGGCGGGTTCGCTGTAGGCGACCTAGTGCAGGTGTGCTCCGACCAGGAGCGCGTTAAGGCATTACAACGTGGACACGGCGAGTGGGCTGAGGCTATGGCACCTGTAAGTATTTATACCATAAACGATTTGTCTTAGTATAGAATGAGCATTACTCTCTAGATTGTTATTTTTTATACATGAAAATATTAAAAATAATGCCTACAGATAAATATAAAATTAGACAATAATACACAATTAACACAAAAACCATTTCGTTTTTGTCTTGCTTATTTTATCTATTATTGTTTCGATAAAAAACAATTTGTTTTTAGACACTTGGCAAAATAGGGCGTGTCCAACAAATTTATCACGACAACGATCTGAAAGTAGAAGTATGCAACACGTCATGGACTTACAATCCCAATGCGGTTACGAAGGTTGCGTCATCCGATGGCAGTATTCCGGGAAACTCGTCAGGTAAAAACTATATAGAATATATATTATATATAACTATATAAAGCTTCTAAACAAGCTGGAACGATTACAAAATCTGGCCATTAGGTTCATCTTTGGTCTTCGTAAATATGATCACGTTTCTGCCTTTCGCAACCAGTTAAAGTGGCTTCTTATCCGACTTCGACGTGATATGCACATCCTTTCTTTCCTTTATAACATACTTAATAACCCCAATTCTCCTTCGTACCTCCGCTCTCGATTTAAATTATTACCACCACCAATCCGTCCTAAACGCTCCTGTCAAGTTCAGTCCAGGATTCGCGACCTACCTTTGTGTAGAACACATTTTATGGGCAACTCTTTCTCGTATCGAGCTGTCCAATTATGGAATAAACTCCCTTCCCACATACAAGAGAGTCCTTCAATTACCTCTTTCAAGAAAAGGTTGAAGTTACATTTTCTTTCCTTTGAGTCATAATCTTAATTTATTTATTTTTATAATTGAACAGTCAAACTTTAAAATCATTGAACTAAATTTTTATTCTAGGTAGTATATTCATTTATTTTAACATCCACTGTATAAGTAGGTAGATATTATATTTATTTATAGTATATGTATTTATGTAATATTTTATTATGTATCTTAATATTTTATTTAACTGTATATTTGTTTATGTACACTAAATATTAATAGTTGTAGCACTTCAGCTGCCCGCTAGCAACATGTTTTCTAACTGCATTGGGTTGACTGGAAGAGATCTCTGTCAGAGATAAGTCCACCCTTGCTCACAATATTTATAAATGCATTAACATTGTAATTTACAAGTGCAATAAAGAATATATATATATATAAATTATATGAATCCGAAAAAATATGTATGTATAACAATTCATGTTTGCATATGCAGTTTTAGGTCCAAAATATAACATATTTTCTAGTAGTTGGGTTTGTAATTAACAAATAACCTATTTGCATGTGGTAGAAACCAAATTCCTCATTTCTACCGTATATGGATTTATTATATTTTTCAGTTTTTAAGCAATGGCATAGTTGCAATGCACTTAAGCCACCAAGGCTATTTGAGACTAGCAATCTACCCTGGTTTTTCACGTTTTTTTTTTATAAATAAAATACAGCCCATATTACTTGCTGCAAATGTAGATTTCTATAGATAATAGAATTTTTAAATTCAATTAAGTATTTTTTTGAGTTCTCACCACCAACAAAAAATTAAATATTTCTTTATGATTTTAGTCTAAATTTATAGATAGGCTGTTATAGCCTTTTTATCAAAATATAAGACAATTGTAAAGATTCACTCTTGTTATTTACCGACATAAAAAGACTTTGGCACCATTGCGTAGAACTATGTTTGCACGTATTACATTATTATATTTTCATTTTCTATGAAAATAAATTGATTTAAAGGTTCTAAATATTTTTATTAGGCGAGCGTCTGTCAGCGCTCTTAAAAACCCTGTTCGAATCTCACGTGACAACGGGAGATGCAAACGAGGAATTAGTGAAGGCGGCCGCCAATGGGGATGCAGCGCGCTGTTCTGAGATTCTGTCGCGCACCGACGGCGCTCAAGCTGACGTTAATGGCGTTTACGGAGGGCATACTGCCTTGCAGGTACATCAACTTTATCCATTGTACTATTTTGTAAAATGGCTCGACTTGTGTTCACACAGTCCCAATAAACGCAAGAAAATCAATGAGTACCTATTATTTCGTTGTTAGCAATGATTGGCTGGACTGTGTCATATACTAATTATAGAATTACACTTACAATAGAATTTGTGTGATTATAAAGTAAAAATATACCGTGCTAATTACACCTTTTCATTCTAATATATCATAATACACTTTTTTCGTATGTATCTATCAAGTATAGTGTAAATAAAGCATATTTTATAAAGCCAAACATCTGTAGGCGGCCGCCCAAAACGGTCACGTGGAGGTGATCCGCACGCTAGTGGAGCTAGGCGCGGAAGCGGACGCGGAGGACCGCGACGGCGACCGCGCGGCGCACCACGCCGCCTTCGGGGACGAGCCAGCGGCTCTGCGCGCACTGCACGCGGCCGCTGCTGACCTCAACGCGCGCAACCGCCGTCGCCAGACGCCGTTGCACATCGCTGTCAACAAGGGCCACCTGGGCGTCGTCAGAACGCTGCTGCAGCTCGGCGTGCACCCAAGCCTCCAGGTTAGTGCACACCATAGACTAAATGTACCGTACTACGTATTAACAGACCGGCAATGCAATCACAAGAATGAAACGAAAGTGCTTACTGCACTTGTGTGTGTGAAATGTAAATGTGAGCATGGAACAGTGCTGCACCATGCACATTCTATCGTTACATGATTTATTGATTCCGTATTTGATCGGTAATCGAAACTCAAAACTTTCAATTTTATTTAACAATTAGTAATTTTAATAGTTAATAATAATTTATTTGTTGTTGTTATTTAACTTCAGTATACATGTAATAAATTGTATATACTATGTGCAAATGCATATGAGGCATACCCCTTTTGGTTAACAAAAGACTTATCAAAATTAGACAAACAATTAACAAATTAAATTGAATCCACTCTCCACCATATCTATTAATTTAAAGTTCAATGTACAAATTAATATTCAAAATATTTTTTATTAAAATAGACTTATTTACAAGCACTTTTAAACCGTCATAATAATATTCCATAGGACAGTATACTATGAAAGTAACTAAAATAAACTAATCTGGCAGTTTCAATATTAGTATACTGTTTAACCCTACGTACAGTATACGCCGCAGAACTTAATTTAGTTATAACGTTTTTAATGTAAGGACTCCATCGAGTTTTATTATTATTATAATTTAGTTTTATTGTCCTTATTTCGGACATGGCTTTCTTTTTCGTTCAAGACTGGTCTGGAAATGTCTCCCACAGGGCTCTGTTCTTAGTCCCCTTCTATATAATATTTATACATCTGACCTTGAATGCTCCGTTAACTGATTCTGCAAAATCCTCCAATATGCGAATGAATGCAGATTCTTTTTCCGACTCTTCCTCCCTCCCGAATTACGCGCTATATTAATCAGTGGCTATTAACACTTTCTGTCCCAAAGAGAGAAAAAGAGAGCTAACGAACCTATCTCGGTACAAGACAAAATAAAATTCTTGAGTGTTATCGTGGACTCAAAACTAACAGGCCTCCATCATTTAAGCTACATAGTAAATAAATGCGAGAGTAGTATTTATATCTTGAAAGCTCTTTCATTCTCATCCATATAGTCAAAAACTTCTATATAATGCTATTATCCGAAATTATTTTGACTATGGGTCATTTCTGTTAGAACCTTGCAACAAAATTGCTCTGGCTAAATTTGACAGAGTGAACTAGGTACTTACGTATAATTATTGGCGCAATGAAGTCATCTCCATCAAACGCTCTGCAAGTCGAATGTCTAGATCCTCCTCTCTATCTCCATAGGCAATATCTTTCAGACTGCTTTTATCTCAATATTGCCCAATATAACTCCCATCCTCTCCTTACTATCTTAGAATCTCTCTTAGAACAAATCTTAGAATAAAGTGATCAAGTTACTGGACCCATAAAGAACCTCCTCTCATCCTTAAGAGCTTTACCAAATATAAAAACCCCATGTCACTTGTTAAAAAAATATATCGTAACTCTCTTTTCGAATTTGTTTATGATTCCCTAATTTATCGTCCTAATGTAATTCTAGATTTTGTATTAGTAAAACATTCGCCTTCTGCTAATCAAAAGTTTATTACTATTGTAACGAAAACATGGCACTACTGGCTTCTGATTTTTACAGATGCTTCTAAAACTGACAAATAAGATCATGTTGGAGCAGCTGTATGGATTCCAAAATATAACATTAACCTTAATTTTAAATGTTCCCTTCATCTTCAACGTTTGTTGGTGAATCTATAGCTATTCTGAAAGCAGTATCCTATGTAGTAACACGTAAACTAAATAAAACTCTCATTCTTTCGGACTCCTTAAGCTGTCTACAAGATATTTTAAAACTACCTTTTAAATCCAAAGAAAATATCTACATAACATTACAAACTAAACAAATCTTACATAGATGCTACTATTCTGGTATTAATGTCACCCTTGCGTGGATTACTAGTCATTTTGGAATTGTTGGGAACGAAACAGCAGACTCATGGGCCAAAAATACTATCCAACACGGTAACAATTAAAATTTTTGCTTCACTCGCGATCTACGTTTTCAGGCTAAATCACACATATTAGAGGCTTGGGATCACTTGTGTCATAAAACTAGACAATCTAAAGACAAGTGCTATGGTAATATCCAGCCCTTCATCCCAACAAAACCCCCCTGATTTGCTACTCAACAAAATTTAGATAAATATGCCGCCTATGTTTGTTTATGTCTGTATATCTGAGGGTCTACTATGAAATGTTTCCCAAAATTTCGGAGCCGAACGAAACACAAATTTGATGTTAAAATTACATAATACTTACCGTTTAAAAACATTAAAAATATTAAAATATTATTCCTTTTGACTTTTATGGTAAGGTTTATGACGAACGAAATGTTGAGCTCCATTTACTGGGCCGATTTATGTATAAACGAAAACACGAAATTAAGTCCGAAACTTCAGAATTTCATTTCATGGTAGGCCCCCAGTATTCTTATCCAAAATCCAAATCCAAGTTCATCATTCGCACAGTGATTGTGGCTTAGCTGAAAGAACCTTAGAGCAGTTATTTTTTGAATACCCCAAATTGGTGTTGTAAATAGCAGGATGCAGTAATAATTTGTGATATAAAATAATAAATTTAGTGAAAAAAATACGAGACGTCTTATAAAAATCTGACGTAGAACAAACTTACAAATAATACATTGGTCTAAAAAAACTCAGTGTCAACAGCCAGTATTAAAATTCCAACAATTGACGCATCCCCTCTATGACTTGTTGCCTCGTAGCCTTCCACGTTCCGTAAATATTCCATTCCTTCTTACTTTAGTCCACTCTCCTCTAGTTAAGATACTGATTAAATTTATATGTACTAATAATATAAAAATTTAAAATATAAGTATATGTCTCTCTTTACACTTCTCGTTTTTCATTCCTTCCATATATTGTTCTTCCTATGTTACACTCACATGTATATACATATCATATTAAATTTACTTGCTCTTTGCATGTACATAACATATCTTGTGTTGTCCTCCCTTCCAGAGAACTCAATTGAATGATTTGTCTACATTACTGAAAAATGTCCTAATATAAATTACACGGAGTCTTCTGTAACCCTGACATTGGCAAAAAATCACCGTAGTCTCTACGGTGGAAGCCATTAAAAAAAAAAAAAGAAGAAAAAGAGGTTTATTATCAAGAGTGATTGCAAGGAAGACAGTAGAATCTATAAAATCAAGAAGTTCATTATTTAATTTTACAGTAGAATCAGAATCGTGATTTACAATTGTGTAACTAAATATATAAATGACTTATGGAACCAAAATATGGTCCTACACTATTGCCTGTATGCAAAAGGTTCAAATAACTTAGCGGGCTATGGAGAGGGCTATGTTCGGAGTTTCTTTGCGTGATAGAATCCGAAACGAGGATATCCGCAAAAGAACCAAAGTAACTAACATAGCCCGAAGGATAAGCAAGTGGAAGTGGCAATGGGCTGCTCACATAGCTCCGACGACCAACGGGGAAGAATGGTTATTGAGTGGCGACCTCGTACGGGCAAACGCAGTGTAGGGCGACCCCCACTAGATGGAGTGACGGCTTCAAATGTATTACAGGGAGTCAGTGCATGCAGGTAGCTCAGGATCGTTCCTTATGGCAGTCTATGGGAGAGGCCTATGTCCAATAGTGGACGGATAATGACTGAAATGATGATGATGATGATAATGACGAATTAAGCGTATATAATCATATATATGGCGATCTACATGGTGTAGTCCGCCGTGATGTTCATAAATAAATAAATCTTTAATTTATAGTTATATATATATTATTGAGTGATTCTAATGACTTAATATATAAAAAATATTTTAGTTATATTATTATTAGTATGCAAAATATTTTTTCATTTGCTGTAAAGTTACTGAGTAGAGAAAAATAACATTTTAATCCTCTGGAATAGTAACACATTACCGTAATTGTGTATTCTATGATTTCCACTACTTATGTGTATAAGCGACGATTACTACTCCCTCTCTTCCCTTATGTGAACCATCACCCTGTTTGTCATTCCAAATTGCCTAAAAAGTACCAGGACGTCCCTATCGTTATATTAACTTTCAATTTTTCATATCGTATCTGGACATTTTGCTTTGGACCGAGCACAATTGTTACGAAATAACCTGCCACGATGCCATTTTTGCTCGCTAGATAGATAGATAAATAATTTATTTGCATTACAGCACACAACAACAAACATATACAGTAAACAGAGATAAAACAATGTATATACAAAAAAAAATTTCACCGTAGCATAATCTTTTTCGATAAAAATAGCAAAACCGCTATATGTCTTATATATATTTTTACATTACTTCGAATATAATAGTTGTCCAAATGTATTCTAGCAGTATGAAATCATTTAATTTCCAATTATCCTAAGGAGCACTAATAATAGTCTTATACTAAAAATGTTATTAAAACAAAATAACTTGGGGGCAGAGTTCTAATCTGTAGAATGTGTACTTTTTGTTTTAATAATTTGGAACTAGAATTGGAATTTATATGAAATGCTTTAAATGGAAAACTGCTGATGGTTTTAACCGGAAAGTTATAGTGATTGTAAACTAGCTGACTACATTATTTTGCTCGGATCAACTTAGATAACATTGTTAGAAAAATTCTAATTCCGAAGAACTGAAATGAAGTCACAAAGTTTCTATAATATAATGTGTATTAGTCGATTGTTTGGACACAGTGTATGAATATATACCATGTGCATTCGTATAACATACTGTTTAGTTTTAATATTGTTAGGGTTCTGCATCTCATCATCGTGATCGAAATTTCTGAAGGGAAAAAAATTAATAATTAAATTTCATATTTTTTTATTATACTACAAATATGGTAAACAACTGTACAGAATATTTGATGATCAATACTCACTGGAGCTTATGTGTATTTCAAGCATTTTACTATATATTATCTCTGTCTTTATTATGACAAATAAAGGATAAA